CTGGACAGCTTCCTCTCCCCAAACACTGATGAGGTCCAGTACCTCGCCATTGCTCCATACTGGGGATCTCCTGGCGCGTGAAGGCATGGTCACCTGGAGGCATGGTCACGTGGAAAGTTGTGCTGAGAGCACTCCACGCCTGGCTGAGCAAACAGGAAGGGGATTTTCAAAATTCCCAGAGAATTTAAAGGGCGGGTCTGACGGTTGGTCACCTGAGGGCAGGGCAGTAGAGTTCAAAGTGATGACCAGAGTGGCTAGAACAGGCATGGTGGGATACTTCTGGAGGCTGATCACAGTGTAATAATGGACCAGGGAGTCCACACTGGCGCCGCGGCCCTCTAGTGGTGGCGCAGCAAACGTTATTCCACTTGCCAAGGTGGGGTACAAGCAGCGCTGTAGCCACGGAGACAGAGCACTCTGCGTGCCTTGCCAGTGTGGACAGGGAGTGAGCTAGGGCGCCCGGGGCTCCTTTATTGCACTGTAACTCACAAGTGTAGCCAAGTCCCTAGTTCTCATTTGTGTGTGCAGGAAGGTGGCTGAGGTCTAGGAATGATGATGGGACTCACCTGTCTGCATACCCAAAGGGGGCTTCACCTGTCTGCATACCCTATAGGTGGGGCAGAGGAATCACCATGGGTGTGCAAAGGTAGGGGAGGCTGTCTCCTGTGTATGTTTGGGTAGAAGGTGGCTGCCTCACCTAGCTGTGTGAATAGGGACCAGGGGTAGCCTCACCTGTGTGTGCAGGGAGACGGGGTGCTTTCCCTGTGTGTACAGGGAGACGGGGTGCTTTCCCTGTGTGTACAGGGAGAGGGAGGTCTCACGTGTGTGGGTGGGGGGGGGTGATCCTGTTTACCTTTTATGATGATGTTATTCTGTAATGTGGGCCATCCATACCCGCAGCCCTGCACAGACTCAGGCGTTGCCCTGATCCTTGTCTGTCCTGAGCATCTGTCAGACAGGGGTATCTGGATACCTGGGCTCCTGAGGAACCAGAGCTTGTCTGAATTTTTCTCCATTCCTAGCTCACTCCTCCAGCTTGGAAGAGATGTTTCTTGTGAAATCCGTAACACCGCTTTCCCTGGGGAGCCCTGGCTGTTTATAGGGACAGGTCCAGGCAGGCCAAGAAGGAATTACCTTTCCTTAGGACACACTTGGCGTGTGGCTGAGTGTGCTGGTTCCCTGCTTCACAAGAGTTCTTGAGGCCAAGGAGCCAGTCAGTCTGGAATCAGCTTCCTGCCTTACCATCTCACCCCCAGAGGCCTGGGCACCCCTAGAGCTTTGGCTGGAAATGATGGGCTCCTCCTTATCGTTCACAGTGTCTGTTCTGAGCCCTTCTAAGGAGAGGCTGCAGTTGGAGGAAGAGAGCTTGGCATCTACTGTAGCTGACACTCCTGCCAGGCCTCACTGTGAGGGTGAGGTACACTTAGGGTGTCCAGGTGCCTGGTTTTTGACTGGAAAATCCGGTTGAAAAGGGGACCTCACAGTGTCCAGTCAGATCTACTGATGGGACAGCAAAATTCTGGTTACTGTGGGCAGGGGAGGCAGGGAGGCAGCAGGTCATCACCCATGCCAACCCCTACTTAGTCAGGGCTGCCTCCTACCTGTGTTGGCTGCAGCTCCCAGCCCCTGCTTCACAGATGAGTCCCTCCTGAGCCGGGCAGTGGGGTGGGGAAGAGTAGCGAGCAACGCGGAGAGGGGGGAAGAGGAGCAAATGGGGCCGGGGCCTTGGGGGAGGGGGCGGGCCATCAGAGGGAAGAAGTGGGGAGGGGGAGGTTCTGGCGCTCCCACTGGAGTGTGTGTTTTTTAAATATTACAAAGTTGGCAACCCTAGGTACACCAGCCCTCGTAGAAGATAGCTGGAAGCATGCTCTGTGTACCACAAGCTCAGACACCACAAACACTAGACTTGGAGGGGAATTCATTTTAGGGCCTCCAACAGGAAGAAGAGTGGGCAAATATCCTAGGTACCAGCCTAGAGATTACAATAAAAGATAAACACAGGAGCCCCTAAGCTAGCCACTGCCTGTGAGACTCCTCCTTTCTGGCATGACCTGAGTAGTCCATCCCTTGAGGGCAGCTAACCACCATCCCTTGAGGTGTCGCTAGGGCTTCTTACACACTGTTGCCCACCAACAGCGATTGCTTCCTGTCTCCTACTTGCAGGCTACTCCCCAGTGCTACCAACTTTCCTGAGTTCAACCTGAGCAACACAATGTAGGGCCCTTGCTGGAGCCAGTCTCGCCAGGCAAAAGCCCCTCTGGTCAGTCAGCTGTCTTCCCCACTTGCCTCCTCTCCTGGGGAAGAGCAGCAGGTCAGGGCTGCTGCAGGAAGCAAGCAAAGCTCTACCCCAGCAAGGAAGGAGCAGAAATAGCCCCACAGCTCAGGGGGCCTCCGCTCCCTCCTCCTCTCCTGTAAATAAGGGGTCAGTCTGATCCTCCCCTCTCAATCTCAGCAATGCCAGGCTTGAGAAGGAGGAGAGGAGAGTGAAGAGCCCACGGAGCTGTCCCCTGTCCCAGGCATGAGAATGGGGAGAGGGGACCCCACTGCAACTGCCCCCCAGGCCTGGGAGAGGGGAGGAAGTGCCCTGGAGCTGCAGGAGGAGCAGAGGTGGGACTGGGGGGATAAACTTTTAGGCTGGGGAATGGGCAGAAGTGGGGTGGGGGGAATGTTGGGGTTTGGGAAGAAGCTGGAAGCCCCACACCACCAGGCAGCCTGCAGCCGGGGCCCAAATCACCCTAGTGAGTATCTTTGGGAGAGTGGCAACATGAACTGTGTCTCTCACACATACTGGGGGTGGGCAGGGGGAGCTCAAAAATCAAAAGACGGAGTAAAAACCTCAGCCTAACCTTTAAAACAATCTCATGATTTTTTGCAGTTGGATTTGTGAACATGTGGGGTGAGCAATACCGCTTCCCTTCCCAGTCAGCTCCCAGGCTGCTGCCTATAAGCACCTCTGCCTCACTCCTGGAGCCTCAGCCTCTGAGCCCGCAAGCTTCCCTTTTCTTTTTCTGGTCCCTCTGCCCTCTCCTGGCTAGAGTGGATCTGGGGCCCTGCCCTTCCCAAAATGACCTATGACCCAGTCCTTCACTCCAGCTCATTCTAGCAAGGGTTGAGGCTACCCAGTATTGAGCAAGCAGGTTTGTTCGTAGGAACTGCCATACTGGATCTGCCCACAGGTCCATCTAGGGCCCAGTTAGTTTTCACCCTGGAGCCCCTTGCACCAGCCAAGCTACAGCATGGAGTCCAGAGAGCAGACATAAACCCCAGAAGGAATAACCCCAGCACAGGAGACCCCTTTGCCTGGTGCAGGGCAGACAAGAGGCAGGGCATGGGCAGGCCAGAGGAGGGAGGATTGGATACGGCTTGAACGGATCTTCACTTTTGGTGATTCTACACCCCTACAAAGCCCTGTGGGGCCATTCAAGCAGGGGTGCAACTTAATCACCATTGGCCCAAAGAACTTCTGAATATGGGAATTGCAAGTTGCCTCCCCTCCATTCAGATGCTGGCACCTATGCAACTGCATGGATGGATTTGCCCCAAGTCCAGAATCCTGTCTCCAACAGTGGCCAGTACCTCATGCTTCTGGGGAAGGTACAAGAATCCCTAGTGAACATTTATGGAATAACCAGCATATATAAACTGCTTCTTCCTAATGACTCTGAACTAGAGAGTGGCTTAAGAGCCCAGGAGCTGGAGGGTTTGTATCCCTCCTGGAACTATTTTTTATATCCTTATTATCATTGCCCTGGTTGTTCTCATTGTCCATGTAAATGTCCGATCCTTTTCTGAGTTCCACTGAGCTCATTGTCTTGATATCTTGTGGCAGCGAGTTCCAGGGGTTATAGACACATAAACTTTAAGGCCATAAGGGACCATCATGATTATCTGGTCTGACTTACAGCACATTGCAGACCATAGAACCTCAGCCACCCACTCCTGTAATAGGCCCCAACAGGTTATTTATGTTCTGTGTGGAAAAGGGTTACCTTTTATTAATTTTAAATATACTGCCTTTCCATTTAATTGGAATGTCCCCACCCTTGTTCTTGTATGGCACAAGAGGGTAAATAGAAGTGCCATCTGGAAGGGCCAAAAGTGATGTGAAGTCCCATGAACTAATGAGTCTGGTGCTGAGTCTAGGCAATGGCAACCAGGATGTCAAGGTCGGAGAGAATCTGGCACTGGGTTTGAACAGCATCCCCAAGGACTTTGGGGTACTGAAAATGTAGCATTAGGTGGCCCGGGGGGGTTAAGATAGCAGAGAATGCAGAGCTGAGCCAGGGGGTGTCCCAGCCCAGTTCCTCTTATGCCAGTGTGCATACCACAAACCCACCATTGCTAATGGCATTAGTTGCCCCTTTGCTTGTCCTCAGTGGCAGCCTCAGCAGCGAGGCCAAAGGACTGAAAGGGCCTTGGAGACTGAACTCCATTTGTACCATCGGAGGACGACCACCAGAGCAGGCTGAGGAAGGGCAGGCAGCGTGAGGGAGTTAGTACTATCACTTAGGCCTTTCCCATTCTTCCTCTTCCCAGGATCTGCTCCAGGTCCCAACCACACTTGTCGGGTGTGTGCATAGTTGTATTTCAACACAGCCACTCTCCACAGGGTGACAGATTGTTGACATGGTGAAAATTACCCAGGAAGAGCCAGAAGCTGTTTCACCTTTGCCCTTAACCCTCTCTCCTGTTTCTGCCACCCCCACCTCCCCAGTACACACACTCACGCTCATATCCCTGCTGCCCATGGAAGCTATTTCTAAGCAATCCCGGGCATCTGGGGAATGAGGCTCTGAACAAATATCGGCGCGTGCGCGTGCACGCACACACACAGACACAGACACGTGCTGCTGCTGCAGAGTCAAATATAGACCTTGGGGAAGGGGGAACAATGGCAGGGGGGTTGGGTTACATTGCCGCAGGGCCAGCGGGCTGCGGGTGTTTGTTGTGGGCCAGGGTGGAATGGGAAAAGCGAGGGGGAGGGAGAGAACATTTGTTTTAATATATAGCCCCCCGCCTGGTGCTGTGCTATGCTGTGCAGTGTGTGTGTGTGATTGACCTGGAGTGAGAGCCAAGCTATGGGATGATAAATTGAGTTGGCAGCTCAGTGGCTTTTGTGGTCTCTCTCCAGCTGGTTTCCGCTTCTCCCCTGTCTCCTGGCCTGGAGGTATTAGAGGGGGCAGGAAGGGGTGAGTTTCACTGGGCTTCTGCACAGAAAAGTGTTTCTCTCTTTGCTTCGGAGAAAGTTTCCCCAGTGGAGGGGAAGCCACAGCATCACCTGTTCCCTCAGCCCAGCATCTGCTTCATGCCCCTGATGTCCAGTTGCCTCCAAGGAACAGGCTCCAGACAGCAAAAGAAAGGGAAGCAGGTCCAGCTGGTTTTGACAGGTAATTTTTCTGGCTGTATGTGAGTGGTGATAGCACTTTGGAAGTGTGGCCTGGGAGGGCTGTTTAGCTGGCACGTGCCAAAGGAGTGACAGGTCACCCCATTCCAACCCCAGGTTCCCACTTTGTGGGATTTCCTTGAACAGGGGAAAATCTCTGGACAGATTCTTATGGCTAGAAAAAAAATCCTTCCTAATTCTGACCCAGCAGCTGTTCAATGTGAGAAGCCACTGGGGATGGTGTAGCAGTGATCAGAGGCGAGCAGAGCAGGATCTAAGCCTGAGCTAGGGGGCAGGAATCCCAATCTCCAGTCTCAGGGGCTGCAGAAAGAGTTGTCTTTCCTGACTAGGTCTCAAAGAATTGGACATTGTTATAGCAAGTCCTAGACCAAGGATTCAGCAGGGGAAGGTTGAGAACCCTGCACTCCTGGGAAAGTTTCACTCTGAGCCCCTAGTGCTAGACAAGAAGCTGCAGGTGTTCTCCCACTCCTTTTTCCCCTCTGTCCCCTTCCCCCACTTTCTTTACCTCCCTTCTCCCCATCTCTTACTCTCTGTAAGAATCATACAAGGACCATGGTTAAAAAGTGAAAGGAAAAGTGTCATTTGTTTAAATTCACCCATTTTTTCCTCTCTCAGTTATTGAAATGATTTCTGTTCCCTACCCTACTGCCTGTGAGTTTATATCTCCAGTGACCAAGTGTCACCTCATGTACCCAGATGGCACTCACTCAGTGCCACGGCTCTCACGCTTGAGAGGAACAGAATGGAAAACCCTGGGTCCTGTATTACTTACTGCAATCTAAGCCCATCTCCCCCTCTTACAGATCCTGGTGAGTTGTATGTACATGCACACGCTGATCTTAACATGGAGTGCTTCTCATTATATGGGTACACACACATTCACTCTGTCAGAGCAGACACACACACTGACGCCACCACGGCTACACAAATACATAACACGCACACTCAGTCCAGCAGCACACACAATGCCACTGGCACTCAGAGGTCCTTATCACTCAAACTAAGAAAAATACAACGTAATTGTATGGGACCCTGTTCCCATAGTGGCCTCGCAATGCCCAGCAGTCAGTCCAAGGGCAATATCACAATAAGAGCATGTGAGAACAGGTGAGGACAGGGAACAGGGAGAGATGCGAAGAGTGAGTAATAGCAAGCGCCTGCTACACCAGGGTAGTGTCCAAGGAAGCTGGTGCAGGCAGTACCATTTGAAGGAGGAGGAGGGAGGGAGGTGAGCAGCCTAAGCTCCATAGCAAAGGTGCTAGCAGTGCCAGGCGCTGCCTGGGCTTGGCAGAGCAGAGGGAGCAAGTGGGGATATTGGGCAATGGTCAAAGAAGATTGAACAGCAAGGGAGTTCTTCCTGTTCTTTTAGCAGTGCCAGCCAGGGAGGGAGAGCTCTCCTTCTGCTTTTAGCAGAGGAAGGGGAGATGTACTCTCCTCCTTACTGCTCCCCTTTACTGTAATGCCTAGTATCAAGAGAGGTAGGGTCACACTTGTAGACTGAGTCGGAACACAAAGGGCCTTGAAGAACAGTGCCTTCCATTACTAGGTCTCCTAGGCGCTATGATAATACAACTACTACTACAAAGATGAGGCTAGTGACTTTGCAGAAGATGGAGAACCAGTGAAGGCCTCCCAGGATAGAGCTGAAGCAGTTCTGTTCCATGCACATCTGAGCAGATGGCTGAAGCATCCTGAAGAGACTGAGGTATGGATCTGAGGGGCCTCTGGAGACCATGGAAATGGGTGCTCATGCACCTGACTTGTGAAGGGAGCGATTCAGCAAAGAAGGTCTAGAAGATAGATTGAGGTGCAACAGTTTGCTCAGAGACTAGGGGAACTTAGGGCCAAGAGGAGAAAAGAGACCAGTGAGAAGGGAGGTGGTTGAATTGTGGTTACAGCTGAGCATCCTTCTCTATCCAAGAGGGAAGGTGTCTGTCTTGTTGATGTTTGAGTGGAGCAAGTTAAGAGCCAGGTGTCACCGTGTGTGACAAAAGGGGAGGGAGATGCAAGGAGAGGGAGTTGAGGGTGATTAGCATAAAAGCAATAGTTGAGGTAAGTGAAATGATGTGCCCAAGTTGGAAGGGGTGGACAGAGAAGAGAATGGTGTCTTGTATGACAGACATATGAGGCACAGTTATAGAGACAGGTGAGATCCCAGGTAGGGAGGGAGCAGAGACGCCAGCCTGAAGTCCAAGAGGGATGTGTAGCCCATGTCAAACGCGACACTGAGGTCAAGTGTGAGGGAGCCCTAGACAACAGAGGGGAGGAGGAGAGTGCCTGAGGAGGGTGCTTTCAGTGCTCTGGAGTTCAAATTGAAATGGACCAAGGATGCTGTGGGCACTAAGGGTGTTGCAGAGATGATTTTCAACAGTATTTTGCTTTGAAGAGTACATTTGATCTGGGGCCACACTTGACAGCAGTGGGGTCAAAAGTGATTTCTTGAGGAGCACTGCAGTTATGAGTGTGGTAGGGATAGAGCTGCCAAGAAATGAATGGACGATCATAGTGCTGGCAGAGAGAGCCAGAGTGGAGAGGACAGGGCCTGAGAGAAGGTAGTCAGATGTGATGAGCGTGGATATGGTGATTTGGGAGGATTGGGAGACAGGGAGCGCGGAATTAGTGGCTGTGTGCTTTTGTTAACTGATGCAGTTCTGGAGTGGTAGGAAGTGGCAAACTCTGGGCAAGAGGTGAGGGGAAGAGGAGAAAGTGGGCAGGTGGTGGAGCAGATTGGTAATGCTGAAGAGTGAAACTTGCCAGGGCCTTTGGATGTTACACAGCAATAGACAGGAAGGTGCCTTCCTGGGTTGGAGAGAGGCCTTGCAGAGGACTAGCTCTTCTGTCTATGTCTGATGAAGAAAGCTTTGGGGTACCAGTACCTCTCCAAGTGATCTCTTAAGGGCTTAGAGCTTATCCATGTAATGGAAGGTTCTGGAGGAGCAAGGAAACGTAGAGTTTTTAGAGAGGCAAGTTGGTTTGGAGATGCAGACAGAACAAACAATCAGATGCTCCCCAGGAGTCCTTGTCACCACACATAAAGATCCTTGTTATACACGCACACGCAGACACAAGCAGTCAGCTGACTGAAGATGGGACTGACACACCAGTAAGCTTCCTGGAGATCCTTGCCATCTTGAGTGGATGGAGAAGAAGAAGTTGGTTACTGGAGATCAATTAATGGCTTGTGGATGGTATGAAGAGGAGGGCTGGGATTCACAGAGCATTCAGATTGCTTTTCTGATGGGAGGTGACTGTCAGAATTACTCTGTCTCTGCTTTAAGCAATGGACTATCCCTTGGGGTGAAAACTGGAAGAGCTTGCAGGGCAGCCTTTAAACTAGACAGGAAGGGGCTGAAGGAGGAGCTTTTACTTAATTCAGATAATTTTGCATGTACTTTCAATATAAACATCAAAATAGAAGATGGAGACATTTTTCAAGAGATGATTGATAATGGCGGAAATGAGCACTGATGTATGAAAAGGTATGTAGAAAAAAGCAGCAAGTGTGAGCAGGAAGACTTGATCAAGGCAGGCCTAGATAATGCAGTGATTAAAATGTGGCATCTTTGTGTGGTTGATTCACACAAGGACTCCCAATGTTGCTCCCGTTGCTGGAGCCGTACTGGTGCTAGTGCCACTGGGAGAAGGAGAGAAATGCCAGAGAAGCCAAGACCCTGCTGTGTTAGGGGAGTCTCTTGCCCCATTCTCCATGTGGATCTGAAGCTGCTTGCAGTCCTTGGTTCTCATCTTCCATTCTCAGCAGGAAGCCTGGGTTGGTGTCTCTGCTGGTCAGTCTCCATGAAGCAGATTTTGGCTGGCTGCCAAGCAATATGTGTGTAGTTAAAATCTCCATGACCACTGACCAGCATCCTGCAAGAGTTGTCCTGGGGGTTTCTCCTTGTTTCACGTCTGTTTCTCCAGCCCTTGGGACTGGTTCCTGGCACCCAGTGGTTTCTCCTTCCTTGGCTTTTCATTCCTTGTATCCTTCCCCACCTGAGAGGTCATTCCCCACTTCCTCTCCTCACTCATATGGGACGGTAGCACCCCATCAGTGGGAAGGGGTTGTCTATTCAGCCCTGCACTCCCTTTCAGTGTTTCCTGGGCAGACCCTAGAGGGCTCCAGTGCCATTCCAGATCACAGGGGGATCCTCCCCCCAGGACTGGGACAGAGCTAGGGGGCTCTGGCTCTGTAACAGGGCACTCTCCTCCCTCCTCCTCTCCCCTGCTCCTGCTTTGCAGTGGTGTGTGGCTGCCCCCCACCCCCTAGGTGAGCAAGCACAGGGACAAAAACCTTGGGGCAGATTCTGCGGGGGAGGCCGGAGGGGGAAGATCTCCTGGGAGGGGGCAGGGAGGCGTCAGCCCAGCTCTCGGCTCAGGCAGAGGCGGCTTCCCAGCTGCCAATCGGGCTGGAGCAGGTGAGAGGTGAGTGGGGCGGGGCAGGGCAGGGGGCTGCCTGCGGCTGGGGGCTCTGGGTTTCCTGGCTCCCGCTCGCCGTCGGGCTGCGGGAGGCGGCATGTCCCGGGGAGGGCGCAGGGATGTGCAGCCACACGCAGCCCCTGGCAGCCGGCCTGAGCGCACGGCAGCGGCGGAAGGAGCAGCCGGAGCGGGGAGCCTCGCAGCAGCTCCGCAGCCCTGCGCCTCCCGAACCCCCCGCAGCCGGGCCGGGCCGGGCATGGCAGCCCCCCTCCGCCGCTCCCCGAGTTAGACCCCGGGAGCCAAAGGAGCCGCTGCGATCGCCGAGGTGAGGAGGCGGGAGGCGGGCAGGACCGGCGGGGGAGATCAGGGGGCGGCCTGCGGGCTGGGGAAGGAGTAGGGGGCGGTGGGCTGGGTGCGGGGCCGCGAGGGGAGGGAGGGAGAGAGGATCCGGCTGCCTACGGAGGAGGCGAGCAGGCAGCTGCGCGGAGGGCAGGAGCCGGCAGAGGTGCTGCCCCACCGCCAGCTGGAGTCCAGGCTCTCGGTGCCCGGCGGCCTTTGCTGGCTGGCGGGCGGAGGGGAGGCGCCCCCTGCCGGGCCGGGCTCCTGGGGAGGGGGATGTGGCTGAGGTGAGGCGGGGGCAGCACGTGTCTGCACTAAGCGAGCCCCTTGCAGCTGGCTCGGGGGGAGGAATGGAGGCGTCTGCAGCGGTCCCGGAGACCTGGCTCCCAGGTCCCTCTCTTCTCGCTCCATCCCGCGGGGCAGGGCCGTTCTGGGCTGGGGGTCAGGCTGGATGCAGAGACCCCGCCTGAGTGCACAGGAGTCAGGGGGCTAGGCAGGGCTGACAGTGCTCCTCTCCCCAAAGCACTGAACCTCGAGGGGTGCACCCCAAGGGGCACCACCCCCTGCACACTCCTTGCTGCCCAGGGGAGATCGGGCCCTGGCCTCAAAGAGCCAGAACCTGGAGCTTGAGCAATATCAGGGTGTGCCAGAGAGAGATTCAGGGCCATCCCCTCCAACAGCATCTGGGGGCAGGGGACAATCCTCCTACTTTGCTCTGAGGTGGTTGCTTTTTTCAGCTGATCCACTTTGTGCTCTGCCTTCATTTACAGCTAGTTTAGTTTAGCTTAGCTCCCTCTCCCAGAAAAGAGAGAGCTGTAGGGAGCCCCTGCGCCCCCACCTCCAAAGTGTGACGCTCGCCTAGTGAGCAAACTCGTGTGTCTGTGAAGTCAATGCTAAGGAAGCAGAGAGGTCAGGAGGGCAGCTCTAGGTGGGGAGTGGAGCTTAGAGGTGTAAGTCATAGCCCCTGGAAACCCCAGCCACCAACCCCCCCAGTAACCCTCAGCCACCAATCCCCCCATCCGCCAATTCACCCAGAACCCGCTGATCTGGTAGCCCACAGAATCCCTACTCAGCAAGCCTAATAAATACATGAGTACAGTATTGAAAGGAGAAAGTTCCTTCAGTTCATGAGTGACCTAGGGCTTGGAATAAAGACCTAGCCCCAGTCCAAATACTGCTCATACTGCCTTTGCATTGTCAGAACACCTTATGTTTATTTAGAGCCTTTAATCCCAAAGGCTCGCACGGTCTTTGCATGCTGCCTCCCCACTAGTGCTGGAAGGTTCTACCTGAGCTGCAGGTACAGCGTTGGGAATAATGTCCACATTTTGATGGTCATGCCTCAAACTGGGACACTTCATGAGAAATCTAAGGGAAAATGACCTTTTCAATGACATGTGGTATGAGGCTCAGCTCCTAATGGCCCCGGAGGAGCAGGCTGCCAACTGTTCAATCATAATCCCTAAATTATTTTATAAGATTCACAGGAATCACTTCACCCTCGCGTGAAATGCAGCAGCTGTTCAACAGCTCACACCAACACTACATAGCACTTTAGGACAGGAAGTGAAGGAGAATCCTGTGCCCAAATGTAAACTGCAAGGGGGAATTCAGGGAGGTAGAATGTAATTATCTGTGGTGGAATTTGGTCAGGCTAATCAGAAGTGCCATGGGACTTGTAATGGCCACAGGTGGTTAGAATCTTTGTTCTGCAACTCATTTGAATGATGCTTCTAGCAGCACCGTACCTCTAAGACAACAGGACAGTCCAGACTCAGACCAGCCCGCTGCTGAGGTACCAGTGTCACTTCCTGAAGAGTCTGTCCGCTGCCTGAATCCTAGGAAGTCTCCCATCCAAGCATTAGCTCAGCCCGGCACTGCATTGCTTGCAAGCCACCCTTAAGGTAGAACAGCCCCTGTCCTTCCCATCCACATGTTTGGGTAGAGTCCCTCCATATGCTCATCATTCTCCTAGGAAAATTGCCTGGCCCTTCTGATCTGGTTATATTTCTTTCCCTATTGTGTCAATTGCCTGCCCATAACAGTCCCAATGTGCCCCAGAAAGCTATGAAGGAACAAGGCCTTTTTGGGAAGTAGTAGTGCTGCTCCAGGAGGGCAAGCAGTGGATGGAAAATAAATGGCCTCAGAAACATTGGAGCTACCAGTGACGCTGCAGGAAGACAGGAGAAACAGGAAAGAATGAACTACAGTTAATTAGGAAGGGAATCTTTGCTTTTGCTTCTTTAAGCTTTAACCCCAAATCTAGGGGCCTTTACCCCACTCCCATGTCCTGCAAATGTTGCTCCTGGCAGTACTGACCGCCTGCCAGAGTTGGAGGGATTTATTTTCCTCCCTCCCCCTTTTGAGTCTGGCAGAGACAGAAGCAATTTCCCTGCTTAGCCATCAGCTTTATTAGGTTTGCTAGCTGCAGCTCAGAGTCTAGTGAGAGGACATAAAGTCGCCAGCTCCACATCTGAGTGCAGTTGGCTGCACTGATTGCAGAGGCAGTGAGGACTGAGAAGCAATCTCCTCAGCACAGCCTGAGCTGCACCTCAGAGAGTGTCACCTGTCCATTCAGACTGCAGTTAAGATGCATTGGTAGAGTCATGTGGGTGATCTCAGTATTGAATAAAAATGGGGATGGTTCCCCTATGCTGGGGAAGTGGGGTTGCTGGAGGGGAAGGCTGAGATACATGGATGGGCTCCAGTTTAATATCCTTAGTCATTATATACAGTACACAGATATAATTCTGCTTTATACATTTAAAGGAGGCTGTTTGGACCCTGGAGCGCTGGTTGTCCCCATGAGAGGAGGTAGCCCAGAAAGACCTGGTGGAGAGATGTAGTGAGAATGTGACAAGTGGACAATCCTTGTAAAAATGCATGTGAACTTAGAGAAATAGGATGATGGGGAGAAAGGGATGTGTGAAGCAACCCAACAAGGCTGCAGGGGGGTGGGTGTAGGGTTTTTCTGACTGTTCTCTTTATGTCTCTGTAGGTGTTCATCTCGGTGGGGCCACATTGACCATGCTTAGAAGTTTCTGTCTTCAGCTCATGTCCTTGGTTTGGATCCTCTTGGCCCATCACCATCTTGCCCAAGGTGGGACTCAGTAGACATGTGTCTTTCTCCTGTGTCCATCCTTCCAAACCCACTTTAGTGCTCCTGAAGTCTCCTCACATCACTGTTGTCCAGCAAAAGGAAGCTGATCCGACAGATGAGAGCAGCGGCTCTGCTTAGCCAGTAGGCGTACTGTGCATGACTGGCTGCTTTCCAGAAGTGTTATATCAGTGCAGTGCTAGGCAATGCCCAAAGGGACAGAGGGTAGGACTCCCTTGGGCTGCATAGGGAGCTCACTCACTTTCTATAAAAATGGCTGGATTATGGTAATGGACACAAAAGTTCCAAGAGGCAGGGAAAGGCAGGAGGAGTGCAAAACTCCAACTTGGATCCTGAATTTGCCCCAGTTAAGTGGTGAAGCCACAAAGCACCCACCATTGCAGAGTGCTTATAGACATGAAACAAGATAGTACTCAGCCACAGGCTGAATTGGCCCCTCATGCTGCTCCAGATTAGCCATGGCACATTATGGGAGTTTCTGGTCTTGGTCTGGGCCAGAGGGAGTCTGCCTCCTGCTTGCAGTGAAGGCCGTTAGGATACAGTGAGGAGAACACGCCATCCCCTCTGACTTCTCATGTTCCAAAAGTCTCTTTTGCTGGCAGCCTGATATAAGCTCTGCTGATGGGATTCGAGATTCAGCACAGGCCAAGGGGAGATGGACTCAATCAGCTACCAGTCCTCCATCTCCAAGATGGGGGCTGAAGAAGGCTCAGTCCCCGAGATAAGAGGTCCAATTTCCTGATATTTGCTTCTGCTCTCCCATTCCTACCCCATGCAGGTCTCTCTTCCTGCTCTCTTTGTCTGACTCCAGCCCATGTTTCAGGTGTGCAGTGACACCTGCTGGACAGGGGGCAGGATGAGAAGCTGTTTGCTTTGTTCTTGCCCCTGGCTCTCAAAGCCTAAGAGTAACAATGATGGGGAGTGGAGCTCCCCCAGCTTGTCCCAGCCACAAGACTATGTGGGACTGAGCGCTCTGGACTGAGTCTAATGGCCACTTCTGAGCCCTGGAAAGCCATGTCTCAGTGATAATCAGTGAATAGGAAGAAGAGAGCAGGTGACCCGAGAGGGAGAGGCAGAGAGCAATGAACAGGAGGGAAGAGGGCTGGAGATGAAAGGAGACACCTGACTGAAGAAAGGAGGCCAGTGGTGGGGAGGAGGAGCAGCGCGGTCAGGCCATGGCTCAGTTACAGCCTTTGGGGCCTTTAAATAAATAAACTGAACTTGACACCTGTCAGGTAATAATGCCCCACTCTTGCCTTCCTCTCTGCAATAGAGTGAGGGATTGTTACTCAGAGCCTGGCCTTGGCAGAGCCTCGCAGCATAGCACTCTGAGAGCATCTGCAGCCCTAGGGATAGAGGCCCTGCTGGGGACTGAGACGGTGCCAGTCCAGCCTCACTCATCTCACATCTTGGGGAAACTTGGCTTTTCCCAAAGGACACAAATGTTTAGAATCTTTAGAATAGAAGGAATCCTTCTCAAGGCCCTTAAGCTCCTCACATTTCTGCTCGGAAGCTAATCCTAGACTTTACTATCATTATTATTTATTATATTATAGTAGCACCTGGAGGCCCCAGTAGGATGAGTCCCTATTGGGCTGGGTGCTGTAAACCCACAAGTAATACATATTCCCTCCCAGAACAGCCACAGTCTTAGGAAAGTGCCACAGACAGGGTGAAGGACATGATCCCAATATGTAATTTTCAAGCACATTGTTAGTTTTCTGAACAAAGACGCAGTGTTTCAGCCACCTACCTGCTGTGTCTTGTCACAGCCCTAGATTGTGAGCTCTCTGGAGCAGGGATTGTCTTGTTTATACAGCACCTAGCACACCAGTGCCCCTAATTCTTGATTGGGGTCCCAAAATGCTGTTGTCATACAAGTACTACCTGTTTCTGTGCACCTGCTCCTCACTGTCTGATCCTTCCCTGTGCAGATGGTCTCTTGTAAAGCCCTCACACCCAGTGCGGTAGTGACATAATGAGGGGCAGTCAGAGATAAATGAAGGAGGGGGAAGTGAGCACTTGCAAGATAAAAGGGGTATATCGCCCCAGGGCCCTCAGCGTGGATAGATCTGACCTAATAGGGGCCCTTGGCATGAGCAGTTCTGGAACCCTGGGGCTTGCATGCACTGGTTTATGCTTGCTTTTCTGACCTCCTTGTGCACTAACTCCCACTCTCTGCCCTGTCCTGCAGGTGATGACTGCAGTGAGCACTGTAACTTGGCCCACGGCTGCTGTGACCAGGACGGCAAGTGCAGGTATGGTGTCTGGAATTCCAGTGTGGGTGCATTTCAACTTTAACCATTCCTGGGACAGCTGATCTCTCGCTCCATGCACTGTTTCCCTGGGACATCCAAACCCTTTCCTAGGTCAAAGAACGCAAAGGGACTCATCCTACTCAACTCATCCAGATCTCAGGCCCCAGGGTCCAAGAGTCACATACTCCAGCCAACTGGATGGACCACCCTCGTTGTGGGAAAGGGTTGTGGGCTTTGCTTCAATGCCTTTAGATCCCACCTGAAGCCAACAAACTTGCACAGTTCTGCAGAGGCAAAGTGGCCCCTATAATCTCAACAGCAGTCTGATAGGCAGCACAGCAATGTGAGAGACACTAGGGATCCTCAGGGCTTAGATATTACAGTGATGGGTATCCTAGACAGAGAACGATAGCCACCCAGACAGCAGGAAAAGGTTAATTGTAAGCTGCTTTAGACTCTGAGCTCTTTGGGGCAGAGATTGTCTTCCTGTGGGTGTGCAATGTGGGTACTTGCAGAACACATAACATACATGATAACAGAAGGCCACAGTAGCGTTGACACCCACAACAGAAAGAGCAGCATTAGCTAGAATCCTGGCTTAGGGTTCAGTTATAACAGTGTCACTGGAGCCGTACTCTCTCTGTGCTACTTGTTGCAGGTGGGAATGGGGGAACCCACTGTGGCTCAGTTCTGTAGTGATGGCCTCTAAGACAGTGATGTGGCTGGTTTCAGGGGTGGCAGGTTTGTATAATTTTTGGTGGTGCCCAGAACAGGTTCAAGTCATGCTCCCCTCCCCCACCCCCCGCCCCACCTCCCTAAGGGTCTGGGAGGGCGTTTGGGTGCGGGCTCTAGGCTGGGGCAGAAGGTGGGCTCTGGGAGGGAGTTGGGATGCAGGGGAGGGGTTGGGGCAGGAGGAGTGGGTGCAGGGGATGGGCTCTGAGAGGGAGTTTGGGTGCGGGGGATGGGCTGGTGCAGGAGGGGGCTCAGGGCTGGGACTGAGGGTTGGGGTGCAGGATGGTGAGGGCTCTGGGATGGGGCAGGGCTGAGGCTGAGGAGCTTGGGGTGCAGACAGGCTGCCTCGGGGCTAGGGCCAGGGAGGAGGACTCCCCCCAACCCTCTCCTCCACTGGTACTGCCCCTCACTGTAGCCTCACTGGGGGTGGGGGATGGGGCTGCCACTTGCCCAGCATGGGGCAGGAACAGTGACTGTGGGCGGGGGGGGGGGGAAGGGTGTCACAACACTCACCCAAGCCCCAGCTGCTCAGGTCCAGGAAGCCCCCTCATCTCCCCTGTGGTAGGTGGTTGCTGGAGGGGGAGGGAGCTGCCATCACATGTGGCTTCCTCCCCTGCTGCAACCTCCTGCCCCACACCATAGTCCTGCAGGGCAGGATCACAGGGTCAGACACTCAAGGAAGCCCTAGCAGCTGCTCAGGTGAATGAGGTCCAGACGTATCCCGGCTGGAAACCCACTCTGGGTCACCTCCCGGTGGGTGCCGGGGGAGGGGAGGGCTGGGCTGCCAATAATGTGTGCACCTCCTCAGGTGCAGCAGCAGCCAGCTGCCGCAGGCCTGCTCTTGTGCTGTAACCTAGCCTCAGGCAGCAGCAGCAGCCGGCAGGGCAGGTGAGGGAGAGCAGCGCAGAGCGGCAGGGCAGCCCCCAGCTTTCAATCAGGCAGGGACGCTCTGGGGCCCGGGGGGAGGCACGCGGGGGGGTGGCAGGCAGGGGCCAGGCCGGGGAAGAGACCTGGCTCCAAACATTGGTGGAGCTGGGCCCCTGGCCTTGAATATTCCTGGAGCCCGGCACCACAGACCCATGTAACTCGCTGCCCCTGGCTGGTTTGGGGCACAAGAGGTGGCAAGGGCAAGTCAAGGGTGCTGTGCTAGTCAGGATGGTGGTCTTGCTGCCTGTTATTGAGGTGGTTACAGAGGTGTTAGCTACTGCCTTCCCTTTTCAGGTCACCCTTGTTCTCTGAACCCTCCTACAGCTTGGCAGCCTCTTCTCCCCATCATCTGGTTCTCAGAGAGACACTCTGGCTAGCCTGTGCTAGCTCTGGCTGCCTCTGTCCGGACTTTCATTGCCCAGATGTGGAGAAGCTCAGAGCTCCTGCTATCTTGCTGGAGCCTATTGGGATTGTAGGCGCTGCATTGAGTTTGTGAGGTTTAATTCTGTGATACGTTTTGAGTCCGATTCTTATATCTTCCCTGCTCTGTCACCTCAGCTCAGTTCTACTTTAATCCGGGTGCTCTCTTTCTCGGACACATAGTCTCTTCTTTCCCCATTGGGGAGTCGGGCACTGTCCAATCAGGGAACACTTACAATCAATGCCCACTGTCCTGTTAGGTCCAGAATGCTGCTGTGTACTGCAGTGACTGGTTTCTCCATCACACTCTTATGGTGAGCTTGTAGAATAAGGTAATACTATACATGGATCCCATCTGGCATACTGTACATGGCTTCACATCTGGATTATTGTGCAGTGCCTTGAGTCCCACAATTCAGGAAGTGTGATGGGGTGTTCATCCCACATGTGCTGGGCAAGGGTTAATATGGGACTGAGAGACCAATTAACCTGCCTGCTCATACTTGGAGGGTAGGCCACGCATAATTAGAGATAAAGCCCCGCTGGGGGAAGAGCAGGGCTTGTTTCTATAAAGAGCTGGGTGAGCCCAGCTGGGGAGGAGAGACCCAGAGGAGAGGAGGTAGAAAGTTTCTGCTCTAGGAAGCAGCCTGATAGGAGGCTGAGAAGCAGGGCAGGCTGGTTGGCTACTGCAGGAGTGAGCTGGAAGCCTGACGGGAGACAGGGACCCTGAGGCGTTATAGCCTGCCAGAACCCCTGAGGGAGGGAAGGGAGGAAGGAATGTGCTGCTCCCTGGACAGTGGGCTGTTCAAGGCACAGGAATCTGACAAGGTATGGGGACAATCTGTAGGAGATGAGGCACACTTGTGAGGAAGAGGCAGCCAGCTGAGGGCTGAAGATTTGGTTTTGTTGATATTTCTTTTGTTCTTTGGTAAAGGACTCTATGGCCCTGGGAAGGGCAGGAATTTTCAAATTGTCCTCGCCCTCTGGTCAGACCAATCTTATAGCTGGAGTAGGCCAAAGGACAGTGAGGGGAAACTGAGGCAAAAGTTGCTGCAATGCCAGAGCCAGAGAGGAGGGGGTGAGTTGAGCTGGTAGCTTTGTTGCAGGAAGGAAATGGACACATTATACTAGTAAAAAGAAAGCAACAAAATGTACAAAGCTACGGGGCCCTGGGGGGAATTCTGCATCCCTGATGGTGCCTGCCACCTGCCCTTTAGCTTGGCTGGAAGGGTACAGGCATTTTCTTTCTGTCTAATTTGATACCTGAATACAGAGCAGATTACTGGGAGGAGGACAATGTGGACTAGCAATTAAAATCAAGGCTGTTAGCCAAATGTCTGGGGTTCTGTTACTGGCTCTGCCTCTGCCACCCTATGTAGCCTTGTTGGGTAAATCTTTTCTTCTCTGCCTCAATTCCCACATCTGTAAAATGCAGATAATATTTACCTCCATCCCTTGGGAGGAGTAAGGCATTAAATGTTGGGAAAGGGCTTTGATGCTGAAGTGTGTGAAAGCATGTGCTGAGTGCTGCTACTCCAGCTTTTATGGGAGAAAATAAATGCGGTAGTAGCGGTTGACATGTACGCACACAATGTCACTACAGCCACGTTACCAGACCAGGCATATGTTTACGCTGCAGTCACGGGTGTGATCGCAGCTCAGTGGACTTACCAGAGCTAGCTTTAAGTGATGCTGCGGCGTGATGGGCTAGCTGTAGAGGAATTACCCACGGTTCCAGGAATACTTACGCTGCCGGCACTGCCCCGGCTTCACTGCTTCTGGGACCCAAGCTGGCTACAATAAAGCTTGCTTGGGTACATCTACACCAGCTACAATTACACCTCATGATTAGAGTGTAGACATGCCCAGGATCTGTCATCTTTGCCTCCTCCCTTGGCCTTGATGGGCTCCCCAGAAGAAGCAATTTTCTGCCTCCTGGGGGCGCTTTGAGAGAAGACTTTCCAAGCACCCCACACACCTATAGCAAGCGCAGGACGGTGTGTGAAGATAGGCTTACGTAAGCCATCGCATAATCCACTTCTTGTCCATACTGTGCTGCTATTGGGGAGGCTGCTGTGCTCGGACTGACCCTCCTGTATCCTCTTGCAGGTGCGATCCAGGCTGGGAAGGAGAGTACTGCGAGGAGTGTGTGCGGATGCCGGGCTGTCTCCATGGTACATGCCATCAGCCTTGGCAATGCATCTGTCACAATAGCTGGGCTGGCAAGTTCTGTGACAAAGGTAGGTCCCACCAGCTGGACAGGAATCAGCTTGCTTCAGCAAAGGGTTCAGTGACTGGTAACTTGTTTACAATAAAGATCTCCAGGTGGGGAAAATGTGGTGGGGGGGAGGGTCCAAGTGCCCTGCAAAGCAAGGGAGGGGAATGTGGAGGGCACAGGGATTCGAGGCACCAGGTGTCAATCCAGCTGCCTGAGCGTATCCCCATGAGATTCTATTTTTTACTCTTTCACGATTAGGGCAGGAGCCCAGCACACATTCCCTAAATGAAAGGTTGATGTTGCTGTTTAGGTGACCAGCGTTTTCTCATTGTGATGCTTGCATGGGAGGCTGGGGTCTTACCTTTCTGTCAGAGATTTGGCCCATCCCTTTTCCTTTCTACAGAAGGTGGTCAGGCTGCTGGGCTCTGATTCCCAGTTTGCAGGGCCCCTGATGCTGTGACACTGATGGGCCTGAGGCAGTGGCGTTAATGGTATTCACTGGCTTTCCCTCACTGTTGGGTCTGCTGACAGTGCTTTCTATTTCCATCCACACTTTCTGCCTTTGGCAGCCAGCTGGGTGGGAGCCACTCATTCTGTCCACTTCAAATGGAAGTGAGTGATGAAGCAGCTTCGTGGCATAGCTAATCTGCCCTCCAGCTAGGGGTCTCGGGGTTCTGTGCTTCAGGCTGGAGGGTGTTCAGAATGCAGTACGCAGTTATTCTACGGCACTCAGAGCCACAGGGCAGCTAAGGGCCTTCCCTTCTCTGCATCTCGCTTTCCCTGCCATATAGAACAATGTAAAAGTGCGTTGAGAGCTGTCGCTGAAGAGTTTAAGGCCAGATGGGACCACCAGCTTATCCAAACTGTCTGACCCCTCTATACCACAGGCCATTAAACCCTGCTCAGCCACCCCCACTCCAAGCCCAACCACCAGAATTAGACCAAAGTTTTACAGCCCTCAGAAGGCTAAACTACTGTATGCCACAGGCGGCACTGAGGTGCTCCAGTGCCTGAGGCAATGACAGGGAACTGACTGAGTTGTACCCCAGTGAGTTCTGTGTAAAAGCCATGCTGCTGGGACTGAGGGAAGCTGCAGCTCATGATTCATCTTTTCCCTTTGGGGTGGGGTTGACAGTTCTTGTTGGCACCAGCTCAGCTTACCAAATGCCTCCCCTTTCTCTCTCCTCAGACGTACACATCTGTGAACATGAGCTCCCCTGCCAGAACGGGGCCGAGTGCGTCTATGACGGGGACGGGGAGTATTCCTGCCTGTGTCCTGAGGGCTTCCATGGGAAGGACTGTGAGCGGAAGACAGGGCCATGTGAGAAGGCAGGGTGAGAGAGAGCGGCAGGGCAGGTGGAGATTACATAAGGCATTAGCTCCAGCTCCTACTCTATCAATCAATAGCCCAGCTTGGATCATTAGCTGTGGATTTCCTTGTTTATGGCACAAAGCCAAAATCTTCCTAGTCTTTAGGGGAGCTTTGGTTTAGCTAACTGTAATGGCAGCTCCCACAGTGGATGGAGTCTGAGCTGTGATCAGAGGAGATTCCAGTCACTCACGGTTAACGCAGTGACCCTGCCTCTGCTTTGCACTCAGGGAAACTTACTGGGAGTCAGCCTTCTCCTTTGTAAGGTTTGGCTTTAGGCTTTTCCTGATGTGGGATTGGCCAGTGACTTGGCCACACTCTCTAGAAGGGTGGGACGTAGCTGGGCTCCAGGTGTGTCTGTGTACGTCCATAGAGACATCTTTGGCGGCCTTTTTCCCCTCTGTGCACAGGGACCCAAACACCTGCCCTTTTCTCTCCCCCGCTTGAGGGCGGAATTCCCTCTTGTGCAGAGACCAAGCACAAGGCCTAGGCACCACTTAAGCCCATGAGTGCATTTCACCCTGAGAATGCAAGTCTATCTGGGGCTAGAGCTATGTCCTATCCAGGCCTGTGATCTGTTCCTGCTCTCTGCCTGCAGGTTTCCATGCAGGAATGGTGGCCAGTGCCAGGACGAGAACGGCTTTGCTAGGAACTTCACCTGCAAGTGCCTGGCCGGCTTTATTGGTGCCCTCTGTGAGAATGATGTAGATGACTGCCTGATGCGTCCCTGTGCCAACGGTGCCACCTGCCATGATGGCTTGAACCGCTTTTCCTGCCAGTGCCAGGTGGGCTTCGAAGGCCGTTTCTGCACCATCAACATTGACGACTGTGCCAGCCGCCCATGCAAAAATGGGGCAAAGTGTTATGATCGCATCAATGATTTTGACTGCTTGTGTCCTGACGGTTTTACTGGCAAAACGTGTGAGGTCTCCACTCCGGAACCGACCTGGGTCACCTTCTACCTGCCTGCTAACAGGGAGAACAATGGTGCTGTGAAAAGCACAACCAGCGAGCATCTCTGGGTCACGCAGCCCGAGCCAGTCAGGACTGTGGTTACTGGGAGGCGGGTTGCCAACCACAGCGAGAGAGCCAGTGGGGGAGGGCTGTTGAAAATTTCTGTGAAAGAGGTGGTGACCCAGCGGGACGCAGGGTTGAGTAAGTCCCAGCTGGTGACCGTGCTGGTGTTTGGGATACTCACAGCTGCGCTGGTCCTGGTGACCATACTGTTAATGCTGCGGAACCGGCAGAGAGGGCGTCAGAGGTCAAACTGGTACCAAAGCCCCTCACAGGCTGCAAGGAAGCTCCAGGAACAAGAATGTCAAGTGGGCATGTTAAATACAGTCATGGTAGAACCCAGGAAGACAACAGAGCTGTGAGGACTCTGGCACTCTTAGAGTGGGGCCCTGCCAGGCAGTCATGCCAATGAACCCTTCAAACTACGCCCTGGGAGTCATTCTGGTTGGGTATCTCCAAAGTACTAAAGGTCTTTGGAATAACCTGGTCTGTGAATCAGTGGGGAGGGGGTTTCCACAAGGCAGCGAATTCGTATTTGAAAACAGAACTCTCGAACAGGGTGTGACCAGCCTGTCCTGGATCTAATCCATCTCCATCAACCAGGCGCACCTAGGAGTCCGGAGCAAGGGCTGCGTCCAAACAGCCCACTACTGGAAACAGCAGCACACTGACTTTGTCAGCTAGCACCAGAAGACATTGGTACCATCTTATACTAAACCACGCTAGAAATGAGACTGATCATGGCAGAGCAGAAGAGGGGCATGACCCTCTGAGAAACTCAAATTCTGCCAGGCCCCTGGATGCTTGGTAATTCCTAGTGCTGACACTAGTGCCATCTTTGGCCTACTGTTCACAATGGGGCTAGGGCTTCTGGAGCTGTTGGGCTCTGTGTCTGCCCTTCTGTAGTGCTGTGGGGCTCCCAGCTCTTTCTGGTGGCCATAGTTTGTCTGTTCCAACTGCACAGTCCAAAGGAGTGAGCAAACGGGCTCCCTCCATAGCCTTGAGGTGCTGTGAGCTGGTTGGGAGAGACTCCAGAGGTGGCTTGAGAGCCCATTTTGCCCTGATACCATGTCCCTTCTTGTGAGAGTGTTTTGTACCTTGCTGCTGCTGATCCATCTGTCTTTTCCCCCTTTACCAAACTGGTTTGTGTGTCTTCTACTAGTAATGCACAAAGCTCCTTCCGCACCCCAACACATGCTTCTGCTTCCCCACTCGCTGAGGGGGAGAGCCAGATGTGTTAAAAACACAGCCATCTCCCCTCCAGTGTTCTGGAGGACTGGGCTGGTCCCTACCACATGCCCCTGCAGGTGGAATTGAATTTGGAGGAGGCTGGAAGTAAGCTCTGGTTGGTTCAGAAGTAGTCCAGCTCCCAGTTCCTGACTGCCTCTCCCAGGCACAGAGCTGGGAGTAAGCTAAAACCAGCCATTGTAGCACCTTTCAATACAAAGTGAGGGCGAGGCTCTCTCTACAGGATGCAGGGGCAGATTAAAGTTTTGGATTGCCCTGAGGAACAGAAAGGTAGCCCTACCTGCTCAGCAGCCATTGGTGCACCTTTCAGTAGGAAGCACACCTGTCCTGATCCCTAAAACACAGCAGAGGGAATGGGACATTTAACTACAGATCTAGGTAATCTCCTGGCTGGTCCAGTCCAATCACCGTTGACAGATCATTCACCCCCTCCCTGCCAAGGACAGCATAGGGCTAGACACCATGCCTCAAACAAGGGTGGGAGAGTTTCCCTGTTTCTCACCACTGCCCCACAGCCTTGCTATGTCGTATTCAGGCAGGGTCCACAGAGGCCATGCCACAGCCAAAGTAAAGGAGCTAGAGCCCCCGGTGGAAGGGCGCGCTCCTGCGTGGGAATGAGGCAGAGCAGGCAAAGGGGCTAGAGGGAGAGGAGATTAGGGCTTTACAAGGAAGATTATTTTTTTTAATACACTGATGGATGATGTAACTTTATCAAATAAAATACCAGAACCAGCATGGAGCCTAACAAGCCCACAAGCAGAGCCCTTTGCTGGTGGTTTTCTCTCTTCTGCCCAAGTCCACCCTAAATCTTTGCCAGAGGAGCTTCCCCATAGCCCCTCTAATACCTGATTCTCATGCTGTACCTCAGAGAGACCCTCTAACCCATGGAGCCTGCTGGGGGGTCCTCAATCCTATTTCCCCCAAGACAGAAAGGCAGTGTTACAACTTGGGCTACAGCTCAATGAGCAAAGAGGGACCAGAGCACCCCGCAGGGATGCAGCTGGGTCCTGCAGCCTCAGGTGCAGGAAAGGGGCACCTGTGTCTCAGGTCAGCCTGGAGAAGGGTTTGCTTCTGCTATGGGCATCCTCAGAGTGGTAGAGAGAGGGGCTGTGTGGTAATGGCAGGGTCCCCAAACTGCACACTAGGAGAGCGAGATGGGTTATGAGTCTGTCTAGCCTAACTATGGGCAGTGGGAGGGGAAATGGGGAGAGATCTCACACCAAAGGATGGAGGAAAACTCCCACCCATGGGGAGGTAAGAAAGGGAGGTTCAGCTTACATAGGCCAACGTCATTGTGTGGAAGACATGGATTCAAAACCCAGCTCTGCTGCTCCCTCATTCCCTGCCCACACCCCAGATCCCCAGGCTGGTAGGCTCTACCCTATCATGTGAGATACCCAGGCTTCAGTCTTCATTATAGGGGCCTCTCTCTATGGCCAAGCTGGAATCAGAGCAGTGCTGAGGAGCTTTGAGGAGAAGATTTCTCCAGCCTCCTGAACCAGAAGGTTGTGGAGCTGGGGGAGGAGGGATATAAGATCTCCTTTGGAATAGTGCCACTAGATTAACTTTGGAGGCCTTTAAACACCTGAAGGGTGTGGGGTCCCCGAGCAGCCATAACGAGTACAACATGCAACACTGACACCATCTCTGGGCACTAGCGTATTTGTACGCACAGGGGGCCAGATCCTGTCCCTGACCCAATGCCCACTATTCAGTCTGCTGAGGCTGTGCCGTAAGGAAACCACAGCTCAGGGGAGGAGGTATCTGCAACCTGTGCTGGGCTCCCAGCATGCGAAAGGGCTTACTCCAGCAGGAGATGTAGGGACAGAGGAACCATAGCTCCTAAGCACTGCCTGTCACTGGTGTCAGTGTGGAGAGTCATGGGCTGCTTTGTGGAGGCCGGTGAGGAGACTGCACCTGAAAACTGTGTGCGTGAGGGAATCTTCTGACTGGGAGAGGGATTGTGAGGAGGCCTGGTTCTGGGGAAAGGGGAGCAGTGATGAGGGCCAGAGCCAGAGAACAAACAGAGAGCTTAACAAGGACATTTGCTCTTTATTTTAAACCATGAGTCCTTCACTGGGAGTCACTGATTCACTTAACAGTAGAGAATAAACCCTCATTACACCAAAGGGGATGCTGCCCCAAGCCAGGAGCATGTTTCCTCATCCTAGGACTCTTGACCCAGACCAGTAAGTCTCAGTCCAACCCCATCATGGCTCGGGAGACTGCTCCTCGTCCTCCCACGACTTCCCACCTGAAACAAGGTCCACTCTGAGCAGGACCCAAGCCAAGAGCCAGTGTCACCCTCTGCTGTCCTTTGTGCAGGCTAGTGCATCCCCTATGGCAGCTCCTGGCCCAGCAGGAAGTAGGTAGTTGCCTGCACCCACCAGCCTGTTGGGGTCCAGCAGAGATGGGGGTTGCAGGTGTGCAGCCAGGAGGTGCTCATCACTGGTCTCAGTCCCTTAGCAGAGAAGTCATTGCTGCCCACTGGTCAAGAGTTGCTGAAACAAGGAGTCTTCCCTCCTGCTGAGGACAGCAGGTGAATCCAGCTCCGCCACCTTCCCCCCATGCATCACTAGCACACGGTCTGAGTCCAGGATAGTGTTCAGCCTGGTGAGAGCAAACATCGAAATATGCATGTGTGTGTGTGCGCGTGGGTGTCTTGGTCTGTGCAGGGGGAGACACACCAAATACTGCTCCCCCATTCATTTGCACAGAAGCCTGAGACCCCCCCACATAGGCACCAATATCTACGGAGCCCTTCATCACAGTTGCTGAGGGAGCACTTATATACACAGGGATCACTCCTTCAGCGCTAAAATGCAGCCATCTCTGGGGAGAAATCTGGGAGCTGTTTAACAGGAATGCTACACAACAACTTTCAAGACAGAGTGAGAACCCAGGAAGACAGCATTTCTAGTAGGTGAGAGCAGGAAGGCTGGGAGTCAGAACACCTGGGTCACCTGCCTGGCTTTTCCATCAACTGGCGCTGTGAACTTGGGTGAGTTATTTTGCCAATCTGAGCCTCAGTTTCCCTATCTGTAAAATGGGGATAATGATAGCCATTGCCTCCCGGGGGGCTGGGAGCCTAAATTCATTCCTGTCTAAAGCACACAGAGATACAGTGGGAGGATGTAGTATTATTAATGGTATTAGAATAAACTGCATGAAGTCACAGCACTGGAATTGGATCAGAACTGACATTAATAACCCAACTCTTACAGAAAGTACGAGTGGATCTTCACATGGACCCCAGGTGGTCAGGATCTCAGTTTCCCATCTCCCCCAAAAGACAGAACCTCCTGCAGCCCACAGTGCCGGGCTGGGGCACGAGTCAGTCCTGATGGAGTGAAAAGTACCAACAACTGATTCTTTTGCAGCACCTGGATTTCCCTAAAGGTCTCCCATCCAAGTAATGACTTAGCCACATACATCAGAACAGCCATACTGAGTCAGAGCAATGGTCTATCTCCTATTATTTTTAACTTGGCATCAGCAAACCTTATACTATAAGGCATTATCTGCGGCTGCAACATTGTTTTAAAAGCAAAAGAGCTTACTCAAACCAGTCAGGCCTGAATTCTATTAAAAAGGGTTAAAAAAAAGCCCTTAGGCCTTCAGCAGGAAGACCTCCTCCACTTCCATCCCCTCGACTTAACTAGTGGCCATGCCCTGGGGTCTCCAACATTATGAAAAGGGGTAAATAACACTTCCTTATTCACTTCCTCCACACCATTTCTGATTTTATGGACATTTCTGTCATAACCCCCCCAAGTCGTCTCTTTTCCAAGTTGAACAGTCCCCTTCTTTTTAATCTCTCCTCAGATGGAAGCTGCTCAATACCCTTAATTATTTTTGTTGCCTTTCTCAGTGCCAGTTCCAATTCTAATGTATCTTTTTTGAGATGGGGCGACCAGAACTGCACACAGTATTAAGATGAGTATAGTCTACAGCCTGAGGTGGCCTGGCTGCAGCATGCTCTTCCTATCCACCAGTCCCTTCTTTCTCTTGGAACTTTTTAACCTAGTGGTAATGGCCCACACCAGGGGAGCAAGGGCATCCCTGGCCGGGAGGTGGCAGTGCAGTCTCTTGTCCTCTGCCTGTCCTGCAGTGCCCTCTACTGGGCAAGACCAGCTCCGTTTCATGTTCTGCACCCTCTCTGCTCTCCATGATGGTGGGGAGCTTTGAGTACAATTGTCAGGCTCTCAGTTTTCTATATTCTCAACCCCTTTTCACCCTCTGAGGCTACAATTCCCCTGTTCCACTTGGCAGGAAATTCAGGGGCTCCCTAAGTCCCTATCAGACAGCTTCCAGCAATATATAGAACATGCTGGGTTTCCACCTGGCACCTACCAAAGAGAAGAGTTTGCTATTTGGACAGTATCTGGATGCTCCTGGAGACTGGCAGTCAGGTGGACTGGGGCTGAAGGGGGATGGTAAATGTCTGCTTCGCTCCAGAGCAGCAAAAGGAAACAGACAAGTTTGCACTTGAAAAATCTTGTCATGCTGATTTCACAGGTCAACTCACATATGGGGCTGAATATCAAGGTGGGGGCAAACACAATGCTGAGACTGTGGGTGTGGCCAGCACTGGGCATGGTGAGTGGGTAGTGCTGGGGCTGTAGATGTGGCTAGTGGGGGAAGACTGGCGCTGTGGGCATGGTGAGTGGTTAATGGTGGGGCTGTGGCTGGTGTGGGAAGGCTGGCGCTGTGATGAGGTGAGTTTAAGAGCAGAGGGCTGTCCCTTTCTCCATAAGGCATTTAGAAGGCTCACAGGGTATGTCTACACTGCCTCTGGCAGCCAGCCTCCCAGCCAAGGTCCAGAGACTTGTGCTAGCAGGGCTCATGTTAGTGCTCTAACAATAGCTGTGCAGATGGTGCTTCAACATTATGGTTTGGGCTGGGCTCAGGGTCCCACATGGCCCCCCTTCTTCCCCCCAACTTTAAAACCCGAGCTCTAGAACAAGCTGCAACATCTACACAGCTATTCTGAGAGCAGTAGTGTGAGCCCCTCTAGCACAAATCTGTGGACGGGGCTGGAAGGCTCTTTCCCCAATGCAGAGGAGACATGCCCTTGGTGTGAGAGGAAGCCGGCTGTACCTGTGAGCAATCATGAGCACAGTTTTGTCAGCAAAGCGCTGGCGGATGGTCTGCTGTAGCAGCTGATCGGTCTTCTGATCCACACTGGCTGTGGCCTCATCGATGCACAGCACCTGCCAGCGACACAGTGACAAAGTAAAGGGTATCCCAACACCATAGGAGGAGATCTCTGTTCCTGGCCCAGAGATACACCTAAGAGGGCACCATAAATCAGCTCACAGCCCTAATTCCCATACACATCAGACAGTCCATTTACTCACTAGGGCCTCCTGACACAGACTCCCTGTCCTGCCCTACTATCCCCACAATCAGGAACAGGCACCCCCTCTCCAAACAAGTAATTTCCCTGCTTTGAGCAGGGAGAATCCAGTTGGAGTTAGCAGCACTCACCTTGGCCTGGGTCAGGAGGGCTCTTGCTAGACACACGAGCTGCCTCTGTCCCACCGACAGACTCTTCCCTCTCTCCCCCAGTTCAGAGTCCAGTCCACCTGCAAGTAGGCAAGGACAGCTCTTATCTAGCAAGGCTTTGGTTAGAGCCCCTGCACAGCATGCCTGGGCCAGGAGCTTCCAGCTCAAGACCTCATCTCTGCTCAGCCCCAGCCCAAAGCCTTGGGATTTTAGACTCGGACAGAAGCAAGATTTGTCACTAACAGTGTGTGTGTATCCTCTGCTAGGATCACAAAGACTAGTGTGTGAGACTTGGAAGCCCCTATTCTTCCCCCACACTGGATCCCATTGGGGGTTGGCCTCCCTTAGTCAGTCCTGCAAGAGCCTTGCCTACTACCCCCATCAGATAAACTCACCTGCTCATGTCCTTCCACTGGACCTTCCAGGATTCTGTTTGGGCCTCACATGTCAATCCCATTGGACCCCACTGGGGTCTTGCCTCCCCAGAGCAGATCTTGCTGCATCTAGGCCCTTGACTACCACCTCCAACTCACTGGCTCTGCCCACTGCCAGAGCCTCCTCATCTCCTGCTGGCATTGGACTCACCCATCTGAGTAATCACCACCTGTAGGTGGCACTGCTCCAGCACCTGGTATAGGTCAAAGTCTGTATGTCGCCCCAGGGGGTCCAAGTTCTCCCGGATTGTCCCACTGAACAAAAATGGGTCCTGGGGGATTATGGCCAGTTTGGATCTGCAGGGAGAGGAGAGATGAAGGCTTAGCGGGTGGGAACAGCATGAAAGCAAAAGGCCTTTCCTCTGAGCCAATGGTAACCAGGCTGGCCCTGACTCTCCTGGGCCGGTCCCAGGCATGGGCATGTAAACAGGGCATGTTTGAGACACACTAGGGACCAGGCAGGGCTCTTCTCAGCCTAGGAGTCTCAGCACACACAACCAGGGCAGGAGGGGCTCAGGAACATTTCAGCAACTGATAGGAAACTGCCACAAGCAGCCAAAAGTGGCCAGAAAGGATCTCCACTAACCAACCCCCTCAGTATCACTTTGCTGGCAGCCATTAGAACCAGAGTCCTGTCTCTGGTGGAAGGGCTCCTGGCTGGACCCTAAATGACATTTGCTCCTCCTTCTGCTCTGCCCACCCTACCTCAGACTCTCCAGGCCCACTGATCGGCTGTCAACATTGTCCAGGAGGATCCGTCCCCCCCTCAGCTCCACCATGCGGAAGAGTGCCAAGAAGATTGTAGATTTGCCAGATCCAGTGCGCCCCACAATCCCCACTTTCTCTCCAGGGTAGATGGTGAAGGTCACCCCATCCAGAGCATTGGGCAGTCCTGGCCGATATGTCAGAACCACCTGCTGGAACTCCACGTGGCCCTGGCTCGGCCAGTCAGGGGCAACCTCAAAAGAAGAAGAGGATGAGACCAAAGTATGACCAGGATCAACTACCAGCCCTGCCCCACTTGCCACCTGTCCCTTTACTTGGCTTCTCTGTTCCTGACCATCCCTGACTCTAAGCCTCCTCTGCACTTCCCAATCGCACAACAGCCCTGCTCCACCCACCCTGCCCTTCTCCCACTGCACAAGAAGACCTTGGGGGCGGGGGAAATGGGAGGTTGGTATTAGAAAAGGGCAATTGCTCTGAACAATTCCTGTAGATCAGGCCAGCAGCCCCCAGTGCCCACTCATTAGATCCCTGTAATCATCTCCAGCCACCGGCTCATCAGAGCCCTGTGGGACACCTGAGCAGATGGGAAGAATGCACAGACAGGAGAGAGAGTGCAAAACACAGATCCATGAGATGGGATGCAGGCCAGACCTGGAGGGCTGAGTGAGAAGTTTTACCTGGACCAGCTGCTCCTGGGGCTCTATGGGGATGTCTGTGGAGTACTCCTCTGCTCGCTCCACACTCACCATCATAGTCTCTGTCTGCGTGAAACTGGAGATGAGGCCTGACAGCAGGTTTGTGACAGACAGGGCATACGAGAGGGCCAGGCCTACAAGACCTGAGATGATAAGAGAGCACAGCAGGCATGTGAAGGAGTAGAGAAAGCAGGGGACGCAGCTCCAGCCAGGGAGGACTGAGGGGGACAAGGAAGGAGCCAAAGCACCAGGGGAAGGTTATAAGCTGGCAACCCATCTCTGAGATAGGGAGATGGAGGGGGAGGAGAAGAGGCTGAGGATCTACCTCCTGGGAAGGTGGACAGAGCTGCAGCTCTAGGATAGGGAACAGGATGGCCTGAAACCAAGTGCTTTGGGCTCTGTGTTAGATCTTGGCTAAGGACTGGACAGCCATGCTGGAAGAATGACTGTGGTGAGAAAACTACTTTGAACAAGAGATTCAAGTTTGTTAAGTTAGGTTTTAGTCTTAGAAGCATATTTTTACGTTTGTTTGTTTGTAACCATTTCTATCCCAATTTCCTTCTACTTAGTATCACTTAAATACCGGGGGCCATGAATCGGTGTTCATGTCGCACTCCCTGTTAGTACCCGGCCCAGGCAAGCTAATGATCTGACCCGTGGACCAAATTCGGTGACGAATCCAGGTCACGTGCCACCTGAGGCACGTTGCGTATACACTAAGAAGGCTCAAATACCTGTTCTTTGTTAATAAACCTAATCTTGTTTTATTACACAACCCTTTCAGTGCAGCATTTCCAACTGAAGAGTAAAATCCCCAGGCAACCTAACAGGCTGGTGCTGTCTCTTTAAAGAAGCAGAGAACTTGATCAGGTTTTGTGAGTGCTGCACTGAGCGGGGCTGAGCACTGCAGAGGAGATGGCTTTGGGGAGACTCGGGACTGGAAGGGCTGCTGGTGCCACCCTGCAAGGAGTAACCAGGCTGGTGGAAGCCAGGATGAGGTCACTGTGCTGTGAGCAGGCTGCTGGTATCAGGGTTCTGAGCCAAAGCTGCACAGCACAGAAGCACCCAGGGTTACTGGGCAGGCAGTGACACAACCCCTTACTGATCTAGGTGAACTTCCAAAGTTTCACAGCACACCTGGATTTCCCAGTTGCCTCTGGTGCTGGATGATGGCGATTCCTGCTATGGCTGTAACCACAGCAACTCCAATCATCTGCAGGCGGATGTCCAGCCACTGCATGGCGGTGTTACTGGCAAAGAGGCAGCGCTGGTTCTGCTCCAGTCGCAGCTGATTCTCTGCTTCAAATCTGAGCCCGGCACAATACAGTGGTTAATGTCAGGATCAGTCCCAGGGTCCACTGCCCTTCATCTGTCACCCCAGCCAGCCCCAGGGCCAGAAGCTCTAGGTAACACCCTTGTCCCTTACAAGAGTGAAAGCCCCAAGTTCTCCAGGTGCTGTCACCCTCCCCATCCGAGGAGCAGCCCTCACCTGTCAGTGGCCCGGGTGGCTCGGATAGTGCTCAGCCCTGTCAGGGTCTCTGAGAAGTGGGTGTAGATGGGGGACAGGGTGAGGCTGTAGAGGCGCTTGAGCTCACGGGAGGTACACCGGTAATAGCGCTGGATGGAGAAGTAGAGGGCAGCCAGTGGCAGCAAGATCAGGCCAATCCAGGGCAGCCCATAGGTTATCATCACCAGCATGCCCAGCAACCCAAAGACATTGGCCAGGAAGATGTTGAGGATGAAGGGCAGGCTGTCGTCCACACAGTACAGGTCTGAAGAGAAGCGGTTCAGGATCCGGCCCGTCGGCGTAATGTCAAAAAAGGTCACCGTGGCCTGGCAACATGGGAACCAGAGTGGTAAGAGCCACACTGGACTGGGACAACCTTGGAGAGGGAGCGGTGCCCCTGGAGTTATATATAGCTTGGCTGGTAGATGGCCCAGCAAGCAGCTACTATTCAGAATGCCTGGAGAGAAGCAGGACTGAACATGGACAAGGAAGGAATTCCCAGCCTGCACTGGTCCAGCAGACCCAGACTCCAAACCCCTCTCCCCCCGAGTGTAGAGGTGCCCTGCTGGAATGGGCATCCTCAATCCCCAGCAGCAGCACACATCTCACAAGGCACAGCCAGCCACCTTCACAATGTGGTGGCTTCAAGGTACCTCTTGCTGTGGAGAGTTGAGAGGCAGGCATAATGATTGCAGCCAAGGGGTGGGCGAGCAGGTCAGCACTCCAGTGAGCCATGACTATCTCTGTTCTCCCTGCCCCCATTTGTGACTATCTCTGTTCCCCCTCCCCGGCTGAGCATGTCAGCACTCCACCCCATTTGTGACCATCTCTGTTCCCCCTGCCCCCATTTCTCTCCCCGAGCTGAGCTCCTAGGACCTCACTCTACCCCACCCTTATGACCGATACCTTCATCACTCTCTGGAGCAGCCGGCTGTGAATGACAGTGGCAGCGCGGATGGTGCCGTAGGCAAAGAGGAAGGCCCGTAGGATGGTGAAGACTGAGTTGGCCCCAGCAATGCCGCCATACACCATCAGGTAGAAGTTCACATCCAGTGTGCTATTGGGATGGACTGGAGCTGTGCCCAACACCTGGATGCGGGACCTGGGAGAGAGAAGGAGACGGAACGTGCTTCAGCCACAGTGCGCACTATGCCAAGGCTGAAGCCTAGAGCCCCTGAGACAGCAAACACAAGGGCCAGGGTGGGGGAGAAGCCAGGAGTCCTTATTCCCAAGGTGGGCTACCAGCTTCCTCCTGCTGTTCATCAGCCTTGGCAAGCTGCAGCAGACTGATCCCTACAATTCCAGCTGTAGGCGCTCTCCACCCCCAAGAGCCTTGTGCAGCCAGGGGGGTCTTCCATCTGCCTCAGACAGCAAATCCAGCAGCACCTCTTCACTACCCGTTTGCGCTGGGCTGGCCTTTTTGTCCCAATCTAGCTCGCACAACCATATTGGCTCTATGCAATGGGGGTGTTTAGCCAGCTTCTATTCACAGCAAGAGGCCTTTGCAAAAGGGGCACCAAGGAGCAACTTTGGAGACGATTGCTCCCCCGACAGCCAGACCACACCAGCTCCTGAGCCAACCTATGCCCACTTACACAAGCCCCGCAAGGGAGAAGAGCAGCAGCTGTGGGGAAGGGACAGAAGCTGACAGGGGCCTCGTGGAGATGTTCGCCATCTGGGGCAGGTTGGAGATCCAGTGTGACAACCACCAAACTGAGACATTCCCAGATGCTGCAGAGATACACAAGAGTCAGTGCAGGGTGGGGGTTAGACTCTGCTTCAGCCAACATGGGGGAGAAGAGCAGGAAGTGGAGCTGAGCTGGGGCTACTCTGAGGAACTGCTCTTACCACCTCACTACCCAGCCTAACCTATACCCTGCCGTCCATACATTCGCCACTGCGGTTACTTGAGCAGTAGAGATGACAGCCAGCAGCCATAGGAGCCAGGTACAGCAGGTCCCCTAGGGAAAAACAGTCTTCTATGGAGACACCACCCCACACCCCAGTGTCCCCCATGGTAGCAGGAGCACAAATTAGGACACAATGTCTTGCCCTCACTCTGGCTAAGGGCTCTGTACAAACCCTTCAACTTGATGGGCAGGAAAGTGCTGAAGTGGCCCCGGCTGGAAAGTTAGGAGGATTGGGCCTTCCTCCTGCAGGGGCTAGGGAGAGAGAGAAAACCGAGTCTGCCACCCCCCAGGGACCCCTCATATATCCGGGGAGCATAGCAAGGGAGCAAGAATGGAGAATGGCCCAAACAGAGCATGGAGCGAGCTGCTGCCTTACCTTGCATCAGGAGCAGGGAGAAGAAGATGGACAATGCTAGGCAGCTGCCCACTGCCAACCAATATGCCCTATACACCTGAAAAGCTACTGCCCCTTCTTTCTTTTCTTCCTCTCGCTGGAGGAGGCAGTTGGCTTGGCCCAGTTCCTCTTCCTCTATCTCCATATCCTCCTCCTGGCCTTGCTCAGCAGGGACTGGGGGAAAAGGCACAGGTCAGTGCAGCATTAATAGGACCAGCTCCTCACTGTAAACAGGGCAGGTCTATGCCAAAGGGAAGGCTTCGCCATATTCCTAGGAGGCTTTCTAAGGTTTGTCCCCTCTTTGTTCCCTTTGCAACAGAGTTCATGCCAGCTGCACCCTGTACCATAGGCCTCTATCAGGAAATCCTGCAGCAGGTGGGAGTGCAGATCAGCTTACTGCTTCCTGGCCAGTATCCGATGGCTCCTTTACCCCAAGCACAGAAAATACCCCTGGCCCACTGTGCGAGGTGTGGGAATGGGGGTTCTTTTCCAAGCCCTACAGCTATCAATTTAATTACCCCCATTTCAGCTCATAACTGCGGATGTGATTACTGCTAAGGCGCCAGGAGAACTCAGAGAAACCTGTGTATTCAGACCTTTTCCACATATATTGTATGCTCTTATTTCTGCCACAAAAAGAAGGCAAGGCCTAGTCAGCAGATCAAGCACAGGGCTGGGAACCAGGAGTCTAATAATCCCAACTCACCCTGTGATGTTAGGCAAGTCACTTCCTCTGTCTCCCAGTTTCCCTTGGCTGTTTTCCTGCTCCACCCTGTCCCATTAGAGCAGTTGTCTTGAACTCCTGCTTGGAGGTCAGATAGTGGCAGTAGGCGGTTACGCATGGATGTTTATCCTGAGCCACAGTGACCCCACCCACCCTCACCAAATCCCCTCAAACAGTCATATATTGACCTTTATTCTGCCTCCTCTTATTCTCATTGACCTTGGGAGTGGCTTCCACCAGTGGCAGGATTTCAGATGGGGTCCCTGGAAAGAGAGCGAGCGTGAGGGCTTTATACACTGCAGAGATCCTAAGGACCGTATGCTAGCTGCAGAAGTTCAGCTAGCTATTTGGTACAAGACAGCCCAATTTACTTCTACCTCTGCCCTCCTATTCCTCCATTCAGCACCCACAACCCTACAACCACTGCTCCACAGCTTCCTGTCCATGCACTGTGTCTTACCCCGAGACCCATCTCTTCAGATTCCGTCTGCTTTATCCATACTCCTGTACATTCACCATGTCCCAGTTCTCCCAGCTTATCCAGTGTTCATCTTCCCCTGGGCTTCCACTAATTTACCCCAGCCTCTTTGCAGCTGTCTGCTTTGATCCTCTATGGCCATTTTCCATCCAAACTCACAGCCCATCTGTCTGTCTGATAAGGCTGGGACAGAGTTCTTAGTCCTCTGGTACACAGACTGAAACAAAAGCAGGTGTGCCACTGTACCTGTCTTGACTATTCTGCCATTGTCCATGAGCAGCAAGGTGTCAGCCTTCTCTAAAAACTCCGTCCTGTGTGTGCAAAGAATCCTGGTCTTGTGTTTGAGAACTCCCAGAATACATTTCTGCATAAGGTGATTGGCTACATCAGCATCAACAGCTGCCAGTGGATCATCAAGAAGATAAATCTCCTTCTCCTGAGGAAGAAGAGACAGTGATACATCTCCCAGTTCCATCAGTGCCAGCTTTCCCCAGAAGGTGGTGTTGTAGAGAAAGGTGCATTGGCTTGGGGCAGTTCCCAGCTCCTTTACCGCCAGCCTGCTTGAACTGGAAGAGCTGGAGGATGTGCAGCAGGAGCTCTGGCTGTTGGACGCTTCCTGCTTCTCTAGCCCAGCCTTGGCTCTTGGATAATGCACCTGCAGCAACTGGCCCTCTGTAGGGTCACTCTCCTATTTACCTGATAAACGGCTCTAGCAAGGGCGATTCGAGCCTTCTGTCCCCCACTGAGGGTCACTCCATTCTCACCTACCTCCGTCTGGTCACCTGCTGGTAAGATCTAGAAATGAAACGCACAAGATAATCCATTTAAAAAGTTGCTTCACAGAGACAGCATGACATAGGGGATGCAGAACCAGGACTCCTGAGTTCTATTCCTGGCTCTGACACTAACTCACTATGAGACTTTGGACAAGACACAAGTGGCCTGATTTTCAGAAACTCTGAGCACCCACAACTCCCGCTAAAATCAAAGGGAGCTGCCAGAACTCAGCATCTTTGAAAAATCAGACCATAAGCCTCCTTGAGTTTCTGCTTCCCTGTCTGTGCAATGGAAGGACAACAATCCCTCCCTCCCGGGTATTGTAGGAGAGTTCATCAGCTAATGTTTCTAATGTGCTTCCTGGATGGGATGTGGGGATTACTGATTGGAGAAGGGTGAGGGCTTGAATCAACCTAGATGAGCAATTCTTTCCTTCCAGTTCTCTTTAGGGTTGAGGCGTGGAGCATCATCAGACCTGCTGAGAGATTTGATGCTGCCTCATCTCCCAAAAGGAGTCTGCTTTGCAGTTCCTTGGGACATCTGGGGCTCCTGCCTTGCTACTACTAGCAGTCCCACATGGAGGACACAATTTCAGGCCTCTTCTCATCCTGTGTGGCTCCACCAGATTCTGGGGAAGGACTTTCTGCTCCAACAAAGCATTGGCTTCTGATAGTTTCCCTGTAGCCAGAACCTGACTGCTTATTAATGGGAGTACTCAGGCAGCCTCAAACAACCTCTCCGTTTCTTGGGATTCAGAGCTTTCTGCTCCTCAGGACAAGTCTTAGAGGAAACAGTACAAAGTGTTGTCAAGCCAACCTCACACATGAGCCTCTGCCCAAGGGAAGGGAAGTGACTCAATGTCAGGGACCAGTAATGAAAATGAACAAACAGCTAAGCTGTGTGAGACACATGGCACATTTGGCTTAGGAAGGAGGGAGAGGCTGGAGTAATAGGTTCTGTGCCCTGATGGAGAAATTAAGGTTCAGGCTGAGATTCATGGCAGGGCACAGGGAAGCCAATGGGATGTTTTCATCACAAGGCACTCACATTCAGATCATCGGAAAGTGCACAGCCCTCAAGCACCTCGTGGTACAGCCTGGCATCATAGTCCCTCCCAAAGAGGATATTCTCACGGACAGTGGTAAACTGGATCCAGGGCTCCTGCGTGGCCAGGCCAAATCCTCGCTCCAGATCCCAGACATACACTTGCCCGCCAAGTCTGCAAACACCCCAGAGCCGGGTAGGGGAGAGAGGCAGAAAAGGAAAGGAGAAGAAATAACATGGGGAAAGTGTGCCTGGCAAATGGGTCTACCCATGGAAAATCCCCTGTAGCAGAGGTGCTGGAAGGTGGGACAAGGGGAGAGAAATGTCTTTTGGCTATTTACCTGTTGAGTTCTCCAGTGATTGCTGCAAGCAGAGAGCTCTTCCCACAGCCAACCTTCCCAACAACTCCAACCAGCGCCCCCTGCAGAGGGAAACAAGCAGCAGAAGATTTATTGGATTAACACTTGGTCCTTCTGGTGATGGCTCCCTCTTCCATATTCCCTGCACCCCCACTCACCTTTGCCACTGCCAGGTCCTGAATGAAGATCTGCAGAGTCCCTCTGGACAGGTGCTGCCTGGTGCTCTCCTCCCGGGCCGGTGACCAGGAGAAGATGGAGTGACGCATTTCCAGTGCAGAGGATGGGTCTGTGGGGCCATCTGGCAAAAGAAAAGCAGCACAGCCACTGCATTAATCCTCAAGGATCAGAAAGTGCACGGGAGACACTAAGCTGGGCTCAGTCACTCCTGTAGTATGTTTCCGAGAGAAGGCACCCAGACAACCTCAGATGCTGGTAGCACCATCAGCTCCACTCCCAAACAGAGTAGGCAAGGATAAGACACAGCTCTGACACACTCCCTGCAGCTGTACAAGGCCACTGTGTGACACTGAGACACTTCCCTGTTGTAACCTCACCTTAAAATCCTTCCTTCTTTCTCTCTTCCACCTGTCTCTGAATCCCTGTAGGAAGCAAGTGGAGACCCAGTGACTCCCATGGAGTCATTCCAAGAACAAACTGGATTCCCTATGTCTGAAGGTGGAAGGAACAGCAGGGAGCTGGCAACAGGGAGTCAGGGGTGGGGGAGAAGGGAAATATGGTAGAGGGCAGTGCAGAGGTTCCACCCATTCTGCCAACCAAAGCCAACAGGGCTGATGGCTTCAGTGTCAAGGGAGATTTTTGAGAAATGAGCAAGCAGCCTTTGCTTTAGGAATATACAAAGGCTGGAATCAGCAGGCACAGGCATGGTTTGTTTGGTGCTGGTGGAGAGTAATACTACTGCTCTGTCCTCTTCCTGGGGACACTTCCACAGGTCCACGGTGTGCGCTCACCTCAGACTGACTGAAGGAAGCACAGCTCACTGCTCAGCACTCTAGGGAGTTCAGAGGAGGTGGAGCAGTTACCTAACTGCACTAGGGCCAGTGAGCCCGGTTCCTATAGGCTTGTGCCATATACACCCCAAGCACCTTCTGTGTTCAGACTTCTCCATTCTCTTCCCACCCCACACATGGAAATTCCACACAAAAGCCTACAGCATCCATTCCTGGTTGTGTCCCATCTCTTGTCTCCATACCAGTGGTGTAATAAGCATGCAGGTCCTGGTCAGAGAGCTCGAGGAAACACTGGATGCGATCCAGGGACACTTTGGCATCCAAGATTCCATTCAACACCCAAGGGAAGTTATTGAGGGGAAGAATCAGCATCCCAACAAGCGCCAAGGCTGTAAATACCTGTGTCAGAGAGGGAGACAATAAAGAATCGGGGGATAGTGACCCTTTGGCACCCCCCTTACATACACAAAGAAGAGTTTCACAGATTAGAGACTATCATGGGGAAGGGGAAGACAGCATGGACAGATGTCCTTGCATCTGTGGGAAGGTCATGGCTTACAGAAGGGTACTGAGCTCTATTCTCAGGGTGGCTACAGCTGCACTCAGCATGATGGGCTGAGCTCTGTCCCCAGGGGACATTCCAGAGAAATGCAACCCCATGCGGGAGAGGTGCCCCCACTGTCATTATGCTTAGAATAGTTCTGAAAATTCCCCTCCCACCTCACACATCAGTCTGAGCAGAGCAATGGGGTTGCACAGGTCTCCCCTGTCATTCACCTTGGTGGCAGTGAGTTGGTGCCCCAGCAGGACATAGGTGATGAAGATGACAATGGAGACGACTACTGGCAGTGCTGCCCACAGGTACACGCACACGGCATCCAGGTACTTGATGGCTCGCAGCTTTTGCAGCTCCTTGGCTCGGCAGGCATTTATCCGGGCGCCGAAGTGCTGCTCCCAGGTGTAAAACTTGATCACTCGCATGCCACACAGGAACTCTGTCATTAGCTGTGTCAGAGAGGCAAGCAGAACAGAACAGTCCCAGAGCCATGTCACACTAGACACTAGCCAGACAGATCTGACAAACAGGGGACAAATGATGGAGAAACAAGGGGCTAGGACATGTCTACATGTGGCAGTAGCAGCAGTCAGAAGTTCTGACCCCTCTTCCCTGATGATACCCCCTTCTATTTGAGCTCTGTGGTGTTCAGTAAAAAACTAAACACTGAGTATTTAAAGTCTGAGCAAAACAACTGGCTCCTCACATAAGGTTCATCCTGCAGAGCAGTCCCAACTTATCTAGAGAAGACCACCGTGCACACTGGGGGAAATATAAACTAGATATAACTTCCTTCAGGAACATATTGCAAAAGCTCCTACAGATTTGCTGTGTGTATGGGAGTGAGACTTAAGTTTCTATGCTTCCAAAATATGGGTTGAGAGTTGCCAAAGGATTGGAAGGGCTGGAGAGAGCTCTGTCGCCATTGCAGATGCTAAATTAAAACATTACAATAAAATCCTATCACTCTGGAGCCCAGGACACTTGGACAGTAATCCCAAGAGGGAAGAGTCAGTGGTGGAGATGCTCACATGACAGAAGCAAGGAAGTGGATGACACTGACTCTGAGGGTGCCAAATCAGAGAGGCACAAACCCACCATACAAAGGTGAACGCATGCACGCACTTTGAACCAGCAGTGGGCAGGGGTCCCAGAATTAGAAGGCATCAGCGGGAAGATGGGATGGGAGTGTCTCAAAGGAATGGGCCCTGGGTTCCACAGTAACTGCTACTCAAAGGACAGGGATCTATTGGAGAGACCGAACATGTCAGGGAGGCAATGGAACATCTGAGAATGGTATTACAGAACAACTTCCCTCTTGGTGGAATCACAATGACATTGCTTTGCACTGAGCTCCTTGGGTATCTCACCTTTCTGCTCTCCCATCAGGGTTTTCGAGGTCCCAGCTCATTAAATGGGTTCCACAATATGTAGCCAAAGTTCTAAGAATGATCAGGAAAAAAATGCAGCAATGAACCCAAAGACTGCCTCACCTTAACTCGTGTGTCTTTGTGCTTCAGCATCTCCTTGTTGTTCTCCATGATACGGTTTGCTATGACCTTGTTGACAGGCACAAGCAGCAGGGCCAGGGCCAGGCCTCCCAGGAAGGCCACCCCCACCTGCTGGTAGAGGAGGTAGAGGGTGATGGCAAACTGGAAAGGGAGACTCCACACCTCATGGAAGCTGATGCAAAAGTTGACCAGCCGATCAGTGTCTGTGCTCATGAAGTTGACAATCTCACCCATGGTGAAGCCAGCCAGACTGCTGCCGCTAACCCGCAGAGCCTTGCGATAGATGGCAGAGATGACTGCCGCACGCACCGTCAGCATCACCTTATTCACCTCATAGCTGAACTGGTTCCGCAAGAGAGCACCCAGGAAGGAGCCAGCAAAGAGGCCAAGGGCATACAGCACCCCATGGCTCAGAGGCTCCTGGTGCGACTCCATGAAGTTAACCAGCAGGTTCAGGAGCAGGGGACCTGAGAAACCCAACAGGCTACCAGCCAGTTTGAGGAGCCCTAGGGAGTAGTAGCGGAGCCCAAAGGCTGCATGCAACACTGAGAGGAGTTGCACAGCCTGCTGGGCATCACAGCGGCTCCCTGAAGAGGGGGAGGCATCTCCACTCCCATCACTTTTGGTGACAACTGGGCTAGTGGAAGACACTGTATCTTCCTCCTCTTGGATGAGAGCTGCCTTTTCCTGCCAGCAGGAGTAGAAATGGTCATGGACCCTGGCAGCCTGGAGCCGTCGAGGTAGCAGATAGACATCCTGTGGCCGATTCAGCATCCACTGATAGCCACGCTTCATAAGAGGGTTCATCCAAGCATAAGAGAAGCGCGAGAGCCAGCTTTCACCATCCTCTGCCACTCCCTGCCAGTTAGGTGCTGGGATCCCTGACTCTGTGATGAGAGGTTCACGCTGCCAGGAGTCATTGATGGAGCAAAAAACTTGCCTGCTGGCAACAGGAGTAATATACCCGATCACATAGATAAGTAGAGAGGCCAACTGCAGGCAGAGGATGGAGAGTCTGCAGATGTGAGCAGCATGGAGGTGGGGCCAGGCCACCCCATTCTGGCAGTACCATACCAGTGTGATGATAAGGGCAGGGACAGGGAAGAGGGCTAGGAGCACTATGGCTGCAGGGCCACGGGAGGAGCCGTACGTGGACCTGTAAAGCATGAGGAGTGCCAGGCTATGAGTGAGCCATGCCAGCAGAGCAATGCCACTTGCCAGCACTACCAGATACAGGGTACCCAACTCCTGCTGAGTGATGGCTGCTGAGATTATATCAAGGATGGGGAGGCCAGTGAGTACGAAGGAGGCAGCAATTCTGCATTTCCAGCCAGGTCTGTGGGAAGCCCCTGGGACAGGAGATCTAGTGGAGAGAAAGGTGGTGAAAGCTTCAGAGTGGAGCCAGCTACCATTCCATCACCTCTGACTCACTCCTCCTCTTCTCTTCCCACAACTATCCAGTCACCCCTAGTTCTCACCCATACAGAGGGTGGCAGGCTCTGTGTCCCATTCAGAGCTTTTTAGGAAGATAAAAATTGCCATACCTGATCAGATCATTTGTCAATATACTCTGGTATCTTGTCTCTGACAGTGGCCAGTAGCACATACCTCAAAGAAAGATGCAAGAAACCCCACAGTTGACATTTATGGGGAAATTTCTTCCTAACCTGTGATACTTGGTGGTTGAATTAGGTCCTGAACCAGGACGGTTTAAATCCCTGCTAAATATATATTTTTATCCTGTCTAATATAACTCTGGATGTTCACGTTCTTCATACAAATTTCTGATTCTTTTTTGATTCCTCCTAAACTTTTGACCTCACTGATGTCTTGTGGCAAAGAGTTTCACTGGCTAATTATCCACCGCATAACAATTTCCTTATCAGTAATATATTTGTGGCCTTTCAATTTCATTGACCATTCTCTTGTTTGTGAATTATGAGAAGGAGTAAATAGGAAACCATAATATAATTTCTGTACACCATTTATTACTTTGTATATTCTCTCAATGCCATGTTGTATTTATATCCTCTCTAACCTAAATAATTTCAATCTCTTTTCATACAGAAGTTTTTTTCAGGCCTCTAATCCTTCTGATCACTAGTCTCTGAACTCCCTCTATTTCTACTCAATCTTTTTTGAGAATATAGCAACAGCAACTATATACAATACTTCCAGGTGAGGAAACTGATTAGTGTAATGGCATTATAATATTTTTCTCTATCCAATCCCTTATACAGAATTAAGGATGCATTTGTTTAACAATCTATCATTGCAAATTGAGCAGATGTTTTCACTGAGCTGTCCACAATGATGAACACATCTTTCTCGAGAGGTTACAGTTAATTTAGAACCCAGCAACATGTAGGACTTTTCTTGTTTTAAAAATAATACAACCTAAGGGACTGGAGGGAGTGAGATACAGAGAATATATGTGCTTGGCTAAGAAATGATTCAGGAGGGACATGATAACCACCTACAATTATGAAAGGAGCCGGAGGAATTGTTTAGGATGGTACCTAAGGTATAACTAGATCAGGGGTTCTCAGACTGGGGGTTGTGACCCCTCACGGGGTCACGAGGTTATTACATGGGGGTCACTAGCTGTCACCCTCTACCCCAAACCCTGCTTCATCTCCAGCATTTATAATACTGTTAAATATATAAAAAAAGTGTTTTTAATTTATGGGGGGGGTCGCACTCAGAGGCTTGCTGTGTGAAAAGGGTCACCAGTACAAAAGTTTGAGAACCACTGAACTGAAGAGGAAGGAGAAAAGACGTACAACTGGCTTAGCTATGGTGTGTAATGCAACAAAACACAAACACAGGATAAATATAACTTTTTCAAAAGGGAATATGTCAGCTGAATATCAGGAAATATTAGCGACAATTAGGCTTGGGCATCATCTCTCCAAGGGAAACGGTGGAATCTCCATTGGTTGGAATATCTGAAACTGAACTGGACAAAACCCTGGGGAATAAACTATACGGCTAGATTCTACACTGGCCCTGAGAGATACGGATGGACTAAACAGGACCGAATAGTCCTTTTCACTCTGCATATGCTCCAGCACTCCTCCCAAAAGGGAGTAAACACAAGACTGTGAATGTTTCCTGCAGGCAGCTGCCACGTGGCACAGAGAGAAATGATTTCCACCATTCAGGAGCCTTTTCCCACATTCTTCATTACAATGCAGAAGAGACACAGATGGCTACCGTACCTTGGAGTGCCGAGGTAGCAGGCGCTTACTAAAGCAAGGATTGCGTGAGGGACAACATTCAAAATCAGCTGGTTAAAGCAGTGACCAACACTACCATGGACCCACACAGGAAGTGGGTCTTCCGGCCTGGTACCACACAGATCAGCCAGGATCTCTTCCATCTTCTCTTAGGAGCCAAGTGCAACAGCCAGAGAGCTCCTAGGGAAGAAAACAGGAAAGAGAATGAGTTAGGCACACAACTAAATCAAACACAGCTTGAGATAGGAAAGGAAGATTCCTCCTTTATTAATAATAAACTCCTTGCCACACTGCAGGTCCCTTGTTATGAGGATCTCAAACAATTTTACAAACATTTATTACACTTTACTGCCTTCCCCTTATCCCCGTGAAATAGGTAAGCCACACACAGGATTAACTTCATCCATGACTATAGCCAGATGAAATTTTTCATGTGAAACTTTTTTTTGCTGAAAATTGTAGATTCAGGTTGATGGAAACCTAGGGAGGTGGTGGAATCTCCATTCTTAGAGGTTTTTAAGGCCCATGTTGACACAACCCTGGCTGGGATGATTTAGTTGGGGTTGGTCTTGCTTTGAGTAGGGGGTTGGACTAGATGACCTCCTGGGGTCTCTTCCAACTCTAATCTTCTATGATTCTTTGAAACATCTAATGAATTTGTGTCAAATTGTTTTGGTCAAAATCCCAACCCCTGCCAAATCCACAAAAGATCAAAATATTGTTTTGACATTTTTGAAATGAAATATTTTGATGTTTCAATTCAAAACAACTTTTTGTTTCTAAATTCACTTCAATTTTACAAAAAATAAAAAAATATTGAAAATATTGAAAACAAAACATTTTGTTTGACCCAAAACGACATTTTCCCCCAACTTTTTGGTTCACTAAAAATTAGATTTTTTTGTTTTTGTTTTGGGTCAACCCACAACAATTCCCTCTCCCCCTGATTTTTTGGAATGGCCAATGAACTGAAAAGTCACTTATTCGTACAATTCTCCCAATGACTGCTATGTGACTATGCCTGGAGTGGAAAACAGCAGTTTTTTAACAGCGCACAGCAATATTATGCAACGCTTTAGAACAGGAAGCAGAAGAGAATCCTATTCCAATTGAAACTGCCAAGGGAATTTAAAGATTACCTACAAAGGAAAAAAAATTGAACTTGTGCTCATTTTTTGCCTCTTACTGATACGTACAGGGGCCTGGAAATGTTTTGTTATGAAAAGGGTTCTTTTATATTAGCAATTCCGGTCCTGTGCATCATGATAAGGTTGACAACTGGAGAACTAGTGAAACATGACAGCATGACATTACAACGGTTAAAAGAGTGAAAGCTGCAGTAATTAAGGGAAAGGGCATTTTAGTCACTGTTTTAAACACTGGGTTTTTGTTAGCGCCTATTTAAAAAAGTATGGATAGGATGAATGGACTATAAGGTGGATAGAAAACTGGCTAGACTGTCGGGCTCAATGGGTAGTGATCAACGGCTCAATGTCTAGTTGGCAGCCAGTATCAAGCAGAGTACCCCAGGGGGTCAGTCCTGGGGCCAGTTTTGTTCAACATCTTTGGTAATGATCTGGATGATGGGATAGATTGCACCCTCAGCAAGTTCACAGATGACACTAAGCTGTTGGGGAGAGGTAGATACGCTGGAGGGTAGGGATAGTGTCCAGAGTGACCTAGACAAATTGGAGGATTGGGCCAAAAGAAATCTGATGAGGTTCAACAAGGATAAGTGCAGAGTCCTGCACTTAAGACAGAAGAATCCCATGCACTGCTACAGGCTGGGGACCGACTGGCTAAGCAGCAGATCTGCAGAAAAGGACCTCGGGATTATAGTGGATGAGAAGATGGATATGAGTCAGCAGTGTGTCCTTGTTGCCAAAATGGCTAACGGCACATTGGGCTGCATTAGTAGAAACACTGACAGCAGACTGAGTGAAGTGATTATTCCCCTCTATTTGGCACTGGTGAGGCCACATCTGGAGCACTGCATCCAGTTTTGGGCCCCCCACTATGAAAAGTATGTGGACAAATTGGAGATAGTCCAGCAGAGGGCAACGGAAATGATCAGGGGGCTCGGGCACATGACTTTCGAGGAGAGGCTGAGGGAACTGGGCTTGTTTAGTTTGCAGAAGAGAAGAGTGAGGGGGGATTTTATAGTAGCCTTCAACTACTTGAAGGGGGGTTCCAATCAGGGTGGAGTTCGGCTGTTCTCAGTGGTGGCAGATGACACAACAGGGAGCAATGGTATCAAGTTAAAGTGGGGGTGGTCTAGGTTGGATATTAGGAAACACTGTTTCACTAGGAGGGTGGTGAAGCACTGGAATGGGTTACTTAGGGAGGTGGTGGAATCTCCATCCTTAGAGGTTTTTAAGGCCTGGCTTGACAAAGCCCTGGCTGGGATGATTTAGTTGGTGACTGGTCCTGCTTTGAGCAGTGGGTTGGACTAGATGATCTCCTGAGGTCTCTTCCAACCCTAATCTTCTATGATTCTACATCAAGAACTAATTAAAATATTGTAGACTTTGAGCCCTCCCCAGCAAACCAGGGAAAACTAGACTACGGCTATGTCTACACAACAGCCTAAGTCGTCAAAACTTAGGTCACTCAGGGGGTGTGAATACTGTCGTAAGGAGAGAAGCTCTCCTGCCAACATAGTTTCTGCCGCTTGTGGAGGTGGGGATTTTATGCCGATGAGAGAGCTCTCTCCTGTTGGCATAGAGCATCTTCACTACATGCGCTGCCAGCTGCGCCACTGCAGCGCTTTAAGTGTAGACATGCCCTTAATGTGCCTGAAGATATGTCTGCACTACAAGCGCTACATTGTCAAAACAAGTGCTGCAGTAGTGTAAGCACTTGCTACAGCGACAGGAGGGGTTTTTCCATTGTTGCAGTAAATTTGCCACCTCGAGAAGCAGCAACTAGGTCATCAGAAGATTTCTTCCAGCAACCTAGTGGTGTCTATACCAGAACTTAGGCTGGCTTAACCACATCTCTCAGGGGTATGAAGTTTTCACACCTCTGAGGGACATAAGACAAACCACTGGTCCATCTAGCCTCACATCCTGTCTTCCGACACTTGCAGTGCCAGATGCTTCAGAGGGAATAAAAAGAACAGAGCAATTACTGAGTGATCCATCCCCTGTTGTCCAGTCCTACTTTCTGGAAGTCAGAGGTTTAGGGACAACTGGAGCATGGGGTTACATACCTGACCATTGGCTAATAGTCACTGGTGGACCTAATCCAGTTATACTTTTGGCCTTCACAACATCCCCTGGCAATGAGTTTCATGGGTTGACAGTGCTGTGTGAAGAAGTATTTCCTTATGTTTGTTTTAAACCTGCTGCCTGTTAATTTAATCAGGTGATCCCTGGTTCTTGTGGTATGTGAAGGGGTAAATAACACTTCCCTATTCTCTCTCACAGCATTTACGATTTTATAGACCTCTATCATATCCCCTCCCTTCTCATTCCTAAACTGAATAGGCCCGTCTTTTTAAATCTCTCCTCCTATGGAAGTTATTCCATAACCCTAGTAATTTTTGTTACCCCTTTCTGTAGCTAGGTTAATGTAAATTTTACATGTAGACCAGGTCTTCCATTTCCAAGGTTAAGAAAATAAGCAAAGCCTTCCCCCACCTCACCCCCTATTTTTATTTTTAAAAAGGTTAAACCCTCTTTCAGGCCTCTTCCTCCATCATAAAAGCAGCAAAGAAAGAAAGAAAAAAAGGCACCAAGCCCCCTTTCTACAATGATCCTCAGCAGGTCACAAACTTGTTTCCTTGGACGGGTGATGGAAGGGGGCCAAAATTATTTTCCAAAGCTGGATTCAGCGAAACACTTGGTCTCAGCAAATCTCAAACGTAATTCCCATCACTTTGGGTACAACCCTGACTGGGCCCGAAAGGAGAGAAAATGCAATTTACTAGGGCAGCGAGGCAGTTTTCCAGCTCCAAAAAAAAAAAAAAAAAAAAAAAAAGTCCCATCCTGCCTGGGGCCGGGGAGAGGAAAGCTGGTAGGGATGGAGCATCCAACAAATAAATCTCCGGGGAAGGGGGGTAGCAGGGTGTCTCCCTTGAGCGCAGCCCTCGCTGTTTGAATGAGAGACACGTTCACTGGGAAGCGAAAAGTCCCTTCCATCGAACCAGACACCGGCCCCGTTTCCCGCCCTCGCACCTTCCGCCCTTGGCCGTTTCCTCCCCAAACCCCGCCCGGTCCCGCGGGGGGTCGGCCGGGCTCCTCCTTCCCTCTCGCAGGGGCTGTTCGGGGCGGAGCGCTCGGGAGGGATGTGGCCAAGGCAGCGGGCCCAGCCCGGCTCTGGGAGCTTCCACGCGGAGCCCGGGGCCCTCTGGCCTCGGCTGAGCCTCGCACACCCGCCCGGCCCGCAGCGCCCGCCCCAGCCGCCGCCCGGCCCGATGCCCGGAAAGGGAAGGGTCCCCCGGCCTACCCGCCAGGGGCAGGCAGTGAGGACAGGGCCGGGGCCGTCCACAGCACCCGCCAGGGGCTCGGGTGATGTCATTGGCTGCCTCCTCCTGAGCGGGCGGCCTTTGACCCCTGCCCCCGCAGTACCTGAGCGCGTCCCTGTCTCCGCTGGGCTCGCGAGGACGAGCCCGCACCCATTTCCTCGCGGTTGCGCTCCCTGCCGCCGGGAGCGCGTACTGCTGCCGAGCCGGCCTGGCGACGGCGAGCCAAGAAGGACAAACCCGGGCCGTGTCCCACGGCGGGCCCGGGCGCAGTGTCCGCGTCAATCCCGAGCCGCTCCGGTGGCAGCCGTGCAGGGCCCTAGGGCGGAGCGGGCAGGAGGGGAAAGCGCCCGTCCATTGGCTCTGCACAGGGGAGTGTCAGACACCACTCCCCCCTACTCCCCCCGGGTCTTTCCCCGTCTCCGCGTGTGGGCAGATGGCAGGGCCTGGGCAGGTGCCGGTCACTGATCGTACAGCGGGGCTCGTCCCTTCTGGGAGCCTCTGGGTGACCTTTAAAACCCCATGTTTTTGTTAGCTCCTCTGTAAGTAAACGATAGAAGAGAAAAGGTCGTTAGGTTTTGGGCAGGAGGGGAGAGGGTTAATGGTCATTTTAGAATTAGTCCTTTTTGAGACCAGGAGGAACCCCGGCCCTGGCCCTGCAGTGAGATGGGTGCAAGCAGACCCCTGTGCTGGTGCAGAGACCTCTGGAGTTCAGCTGGTTTTTGTGCAGGTGTAAGGGTCCACCCGCAGAGATCTGATTTCCCAATGGGTACCATAGCCAAGGGTGCCATTCAGAAGACAAACATCCAGCATTCCAAAGTAATCGCATATGTTATTCATCAGTTAAGTAAGTCTATGCCTGCTACCATAAAGTTGATGGAGAGACACTACAGAGACAGTCAAATCAACAAGGCAAATAATAAAAAATACAAATTAGAAAGCAATAGAATTTGAGACTCTTGACACACAAAGCAATAACCCCAAGGAATATACAATTTGCCAATGACACTACAATGAAAGGAGTTGCAAACACTAGGTTAGAGAAATGTAATACAATGGGGGGAACAGAGATAAAAGAGAGGTAGAAAATATTTAAATAAATTGAGTTTTAAAATATGCAGCTAGTACGTCTGGGGAAGGGTAACATATGGGAAGGAGCAACCTGGAAAGTAGGAATGGCTGAAAGAGATGTATGAGTGACTGAACAACAAATTAGACATGGCCTTGCAAAGTGACACAGCAACTAAGCAGGTCAATGCAATTTTGGGCTACATACAGAGCGTCGTATCTTGGAGTAGAGAGTTCACAATCTCGCTCTAATCAGCTCCACTGCAACCGCTTCTAGAATATTGTGTGCCATTTTGGGTACCTCATTACCAGAAAGATGACAAATTGGAGGGAGATCAGAGAAGTGCATCAAAACACGTTTGTGGGTCAAGTTATGAGGAAAGGATAAAATATGTGCAGCTTAATGAATCTGAGTTCTTTAAATATTTGCCTAACTAGTACACTGGGTACATATACAAATACTATGCAGCCTTCCTTCCCCTCCCACCCCCCAGAAAAAATGCCTAGAAAGCAGATCGGTGTCCAAGAACAACAATAATTGTTTCCCAAATCCCATTAATTCCCTCACAGGTTTCCCAGACATCCCTCCTGCTCCCCTCATCTTGGTTCTCAACGTCAGCCACCTGTTGTCAGATTTGTAGATTTTAAGGCCAGAAGAGACCATAAGGATAATCTAGTATAACTAGGCCAGAGAATTTATATCAATTACCACTATATTGAGCCCAGGGGTTAAATTCTCAGAACTTATTTCCTGGAGCCCCCCATGCCCTCCCAGCCCCATTCAGGGCTCCGGACTTCAGCTGTAGGGTGGGGTTCTTGGGGCTTTAGCCCTGCTGAGGGGGGCACTGGGGCTCTATGCCCATATGGGGCACCAGGGGTTGGGGCTCTAGCTGCACGGTGGGGCACTGGAGCTCAGGGCTTCTGCCCCATGGGACGCACCAGGGTTCGGGGCTTCAGCCCTGCGGGCTGTGTTGGGGCTCAGGGCTTCTGCCCTGTGGGAGGCGCCCCAAGGCTTGAGGCTTCTGCACTACAGGGCAAACCAGGGTTCAGGCTTTCAGCCCCGGAGGAGGTGCTAGAGCTCCTGCAGGTTTGAAAATATTTACTGGAGCTCCACTCCAGATGACTCTGGCTGAAAGTAAGCCCTGACTGAGCCCAATCACTGTATTTGACTAAAGCATGTATAATGTGAGGCAAGCAGAGTCAGGAAATACAAGACACAACTTTTAACTACAAACACACAGGCCCTTAGCAGATGAGATAAAGGCTCAGCTTCCTCAAGTCAGACAAGAAGGAACTGATATACTCATAAGCAGGTCCAACATTCCCATCTGGGATGGGACAGTTGCATGCACATACAACCCATCTATTACAGAATGATAGGTGGGTGTAAGGTCACCCCCACAGTATGAGCACTCTGGCTGGTGGAGAAGGGAATTGTGATTTTCAGTACTGAAGCTATGAGTACACGCCTTTGCCAAGGTCTCTCTGACCCCTGACTCTGCCAGAGTTAACTTCAGGGCCAGACAGGCTGCCCCCTGCAATTCTGTACAAAGTGGTAATTCTATCATCAGATGCAAGCAATTCCTTGTAGATAGCAAGTGTCTTTCCAACTCCCAGCCAGTACAGACACACATGGTGAAGAGTCCTCTGTGCTTGTGAGAGTAAGTGTCAATGTTATCACTGGTTTCAGAGTAACAGCCGTGTTAGTCTGTATTCGCAAAAAGAAAAGGAGTACTTGTGGCACCTTAGAGACTAACCAATTTATTTGAGCATGAGCTTTCATGAGCTACAGCTCACTTCATCACTGGGGTGCTGGGGAAACAAAACACCAGCAGGATTCCTGTCTGGGAAAACAAAACAATCAGGCTGAGGGAGTTTGAGCTGTAGCTCACAAAAGCTTATGCTCAAATAAATTGGTTAGTCTCTAAGGTGCCACAAGTACTCCTTTTCTTTTTGCGAATACAGACTAACACGGCTGTTACTCTGAAACCTGAGATAGAAGAGGCAGAAGTAAAAGTTGTGAGGCCAAAGCACCTTCTTATCTTAGGCTCCTTGAAAGAGAGAGAGGGAGAGAAAGGAGAGTCGAAGCAGCTGGCACTCACCAAAGGTCTTTTGCAGGTTTTAAGGGGATGGAGAATGACTGAAGCCCCAGGGTGGATACTGAGTGCCCCCAGTCCCAGATAGTTTGTGCTCACTGCCAAGACTCCTACTTGAGCCTATTTGGTATTTGGATTCCTTTCACTTTGCTCCTCTCTTATCCTGTTTTTGCCATGCTGTGAAAGATGAGAAGAAACTGTGTAAAGGATCAAGGTTTCTCTACTACGTTCCCATTTAGGGTGACCAGATGTCCTGATTTTATAGGGACACTCCCGATATTTGGGGCTTTTTCTTATGTAGGTGCCAATTACCCCCCACCCCATGTCCCGATTTTTCACACTTACTATCTGGTCTCCCCTTCTCCACAAGAGATAGTACCTCTTCCCCACCATTAGCATCTTGTGCTGTTCTTTTCACATCAGAACACTGGCTTTCAGCTGGAGTTACTGGTAGATTGAGTGAACTGGGGTCCTGCCCTTCCTCTCAGACAGAGGGACCCAAAGGGCATGAATACTGTACTGTAAACAGGGACAAAAGGAAAGAACTGGCTCTGTGTAGGCCATGACTGTGAGCCTCTATTCCACTCACTGGCCCTCTATCAATGTTAAGTATTATTACTAAGGGGCAAGAAAAAGGTTTATTTGTCTATTCTGGTCCGCCTGGTTGCATAAAGCAATTATTGGTATATCTATATGCTTGTCCCATTCTTCTGCCCATGTATCCTGGCTCCTCCTGGTCTTAAATGTAACACTTACCTGCATGTAGAAGTCAGAAGGTACCTTTATCATGCATGTATTGCCGGCCGTTGATTCTGTACACACTGTGTGTGTGTTTGGTGTGTTCTTTCTTGCCTCTACCATACTGTTTTAAAGGCTATGAAGAAAGATTATGTTGACTTTAATAAGTAAGTCAGCTTCCATGTAGAAGACATGATGATTGGATTTCTGCTGTTGCTTTATGTGCTCTCTCATCAAGGAAGGTACAACTGAGGAAATGTTGTGATACAAAAGGAATCTCAAGAACACAAATATGAAACATCCGAGCTTGGATCTATCCTTGAATAAAACATTACAGCTCTTCATTGTGCTGAAATCTTACTTAAGTTCAAATGCAGAAGCTTCTCATAGCTTTATAAGGCACCAAGAGAAGTTCTTAGATATCCAGAACAAAGCATGACTTTATGTTCTTCAAACTACTCTCCCCAGATTTTTTCAACTAGACCTTCTAGCATCTCTTGTCTCCTTCTGCTGCCCCTATTGTGCCCTGCATTCTGCCTACTCTTCTCTCCTGACCTCTCCTTTTGGACCTGCTTCCTCGGGAGTGAACGAGAAGCAGTTTTCAGGGACCACTGATCCTTCTTTACTTCAGCCAGTGTTGTCTACCCACTCACACGATTATATATATATAAAAAACTAATAAAGCGAACCAGGAAAAGAACCAAAAAAACACCAGAGTCCAACATAACTGATCTGAACTTATTGGTCCAAAGTCTGTACCCTCTGATTGAAGTCAATGGCAAAACTCACATTGACTTAAGTGGGAGCAGGGTCTCATTACTAAATAATGCTTTTTTTCCTCTGTTTTCCATCTTCTTGTAATATCATCATGGCTTGTTCTAATTTTCCATTATGTTTCTGTCTGATCTAGGCTCTGAGCAACTTGGAGCAGGGGCTTGTGCCATATTCACGTATAAAATACCATGCACACCATTTATAAATAATAACACACCCTACATTTATCATAGAATCCTAACACTAGAGATGGAGAAAAAGTTAGGACCAGTCCCTCCCCCAGGGCCTAGCACAAAATTGTTCCCAACCGTCTATTCTCCAGGGCTTTGACCAATCAAGATTAAAATGTCCCAAATGATGAAGCGTCTCCTATTTTCGTTGATAATTTATTTTTGGACTTATTACATAGTGCCCATAGCAGGGCTTGTGCACTGGGAAGTGACAGAGGGGGGTGTATGACCATCTCACCTCCCAAACACAGGTAGGTATTGAATTCAATCAGGAGGAGGCAGACCCAGACAAGGCTCAAACCCAGAAATATCAGTGTTTTCACCATCATCCACAAATGGTCTTAAAATAACTATTTGGCTGCAGTTTTGTTCTCCCAGCTGGGGCTTTACTATCAGTTGAACTGTCTTAGAATTCTGTCATGTCACAAGAAGGGGGAGGTTTG